GGGGACATTGGGGACATCGGGGGGACATTGGGGACATTGGGGACATTGGGGACATTGGGGGTGTTGGGGACATTGGGGACATTGGGGACATTGGGGACATTGGGGACATTGGGGACGTTGGGGACATCGGGGACAATGGGGACATTGGGGACATTGGGGACATCGGGGATATTGGGGACATTGGGGGTGTTGGGGACATTGGGACATTTGGGACATTTGGGACATTGGGGACATTGGGGACATTGGGGGATTGGGGACATTGGGGACAATGGGGACATTGGGGGGACATTGGGGGGACATTGGGGGGACATTGGGGACATTGGGGACATTGGGGACATTGGGGGGACATGGGGACATTGGGGACATTGGGGACATTGGGGACATTGGGGACATCGGGGACATTGGGGACATTGGGGGTGTTGGGGACATTGGGGACATTGGGGACATTGGGGACATTGGGGACGTTGGGGACATCGGGGACATTGGGGACATTGGGGACATTGGGGACATCGGGGATATTGGGGACATTGGGGGTGTTGGGGACATTGGGACATTTGGGACATTGGGGACATTGGGGACATTGGGGACATTGGGGACATTGGGGGCATTGGGGACATTGGGGACATTGGGGGGACATTTGGGGACATTGGGGACATTGGGGACATTGGGGGGACATTGGGGACATTGGGGACATTGGGGGGACATTGGGGACATTGGGGACATTGGGGACAATGGGGACATTGGGGACATTGGGGGGACATTGGGGACATTGGGGACATTGGGGACATCACTGGGGACATTGGGGACATTGGGGACATTGGGGACCCTGAGGGGACATTGGGGACACTGGGGACATTGGGGACATTGGGGGGACATTTGGGGACATTGGGGACACTCCTGTCCCTGTCCCCCCGTGTCCCCTGACCCGTGTCCCTGTCCCCAGGTCGGTTGGTTTCCCGCCAATTACGTGGACGAGGATTTCTCGGATTATTGCTGATTCCTCGGATTGTCGCTGGTTTTTGGGAATTATCCCTGATTTTTTAGGAATTATCCCTGATTTTTGGGAATTAATTATAGCTGATTTTTGGGAATTAATTATTGATGATTTTTGGGAATTATCGCTGATTTTTGGGAATTATCGCTGATTTTTGGGAATTATTCCTGATTTTGGGGAATTATAGTTGATTTTTGGGGAATTATACCTGATTTTTGGGAATTATCCCTGATTTTTGGGAATTAATTTTTGATGATTTTTGGGAATTAATTATCGCCGATTTTTGGGAATTATTGTTGATTTTTGGGAATTTTTTACGATTTTGGCGACGCCCCAATAATTTACGGAACAACAAACCGGGATCAGCTCTGAGGGGATTTAACGGAAATCGGCCCCAAAAAATTCCGGGAATGTCCGGCCGGGAATGTCCGGCCAAGGGTCAAAGGTCACGGCCGGACATTTGGGCTCGGAGTTCCACCTGGCGGGATTTTGGGGAATTCCAGGATTTTGGGGGGAATTCCAGGATTTTGGGATGGATTCCCGAATTTTGGGGTGAATTCCCGGGATTTTGAGAATTCCAGGATTTTGGGGGGAATTCGATTTTGGGGTGAATTTCAGGATTTGGGGATAAAAGCCAGGATTTTGGGGTGAATTCCAGGATTTTGTGGCGAATTCCAGGATTTTACGGTGAATTCCAGGATTCTGGGGTGAATTCCCGAATTTTGGGGTGAATTCCAGGATTTTGGGGTGAATTCCAATATTTTGGGGTGAATTCCAAGATTTTGGGGTGAATTCCGGGAATTTGAGGCAAATTCCAGGATTTTGTGGTTAATTCCAAGATTTTGGGGTGAATCCCAGGATTTTGGGTGAATTCCAGGATTTTGGGGTGAATTCCAGGATTTTGGGGTGAATTCCTGGATTTTGGGTTGAATTCCAGGATTTTGCAGTGAATTCCCGAATTTTGTGGTTAATTCCGGGATTTTGGGGTGAATTCCGGGATTTTGGGGTGAATTCCAGGATTCTGGGGTGAATTCCAAGATTTTGAGGTGAATTCCAGGATTTTGGGGTGAATTTCCGGGATTTTGCAGTGAATTCCGGGATTTTGGGGTGAATTCCAGGATTTTGGGGTGAATTCCCGGATTTTGGGGTGAATTCCGGGATTTGGGGGCAAATTCCGGGATTTTGCGGTGAATTCCAAGATTTTGGGGTGAATTCCAGGATTTTGGGGTGAATTCCAGGATTTTGCAGTGAATTCCAGGATTTTGGGGTGATTTCCGGGATTTGGGGGCAAATTCCGGGATTTTGCGGTGAATTCCAAGATTTTGGGATGAATTCCAGGATTTTGGGGTGAATTCCAGGATTTTGCGGTGAATTCCCGGGATTTTGCAGTGAATTCCAGGATTTTGGGGTGAATTCCAGGATTTTGCAGTGAATTCCAGGATTTTGCAGTGAATTCCCGGATTCTGGGCGAATTTCCGAATCTTTGGTGAATTCCCGGATTTGGGGTGAATTCCCGGGATTTTGGGGTCACAGGGGCTCCTCGCACACCCAACTCAGCGACGTCCCACAGGGAAACTCGGCCCGGAGCCCGTCCGGCCCCACGGCCCCGCACTTCTCCCAACTGCCCCAAAAAAAGGGAAAAACGGCTCAGGATCCCAAAAATCTCAAAAATTCCAAAAATCCCCAAAACTCCCAGCCCAAATCGCAAAAAAAATCCCATAAAATCCCCAAAAAGCCCGTTAAAATACCATTAAAATAAAAAAAAAAACCCCATAAAAATCCCATAAATGACCCCAAAAACACCTCCAAAAAAATCCCATAAGTGACCCCAAAAATCCCATAAATGACCCCAAAAATCCCATAAATGACCCCAAAAATCCCAGTAAAAATCCCATAAATGAGCCCACAAATTCCATTTAAAAATCCCATTAAAAATCCCATTAAAACCCCATAAATTCCCATTAAAAATCCCATAAATGACCCCAAAGACGCCTCCAAAAAAATCCCACAAATGACCCCAAAAATCCCAATAAAAATCCCATGAATGGCCCCATAAATCCCACAAATGTTACCAAAAACCCCATTTTAAAAATCCCATAAATGATCCCAAAAACCCCATAACAGTCCAAAAAATCCCATTCAAAAAATCCCATAAATGACCACAAAAATCCCATAAATAACCCCAAAAGTCCCATAAATGACCCCAAACACCCCATTAAAAAATCCCAATAAAATCCCATAAATGACCCCAAAGACCCCTCCAAAAAAATCCCACAAATGACCCCAAAAATCCCAATAAAAATCCCATAAATCCCATTAAAAAATGCCATCAAAATCTCAAAAATGACCCCAAAAACCCCATAAGTGACCCCAAAAACCCCATTAAAAAACTCATAAATGACCCCAAAAATCCCATTTAAAAATTGCATTAAAAATCCCATAAATGACTCCAAAAGCTCCAAAAATGATCCCATTAAAAAATCGCATTACAAATCCCATAAATTACCCCAAAAATTCCATAAATTACCACAAACCCATTAAAAATCCCATAAATGACCCCCAAAAACCCCATTAAAAAATCCGATAAATGACCCCTAAAATCCCATTTTAAAATCCTATAAAAATCCTATAAAAATCCCACAAATTACCCCAAAAATCCCATTTAAAAATCCCACAAATTACCCCAAAAATCCCATAAATTACCCCAAAAACTCCATTAAAAAATCCCATAAATGACCCCATAAATCCCATTTAAAAATCCTATTAAAATCCTCTAAAAATCCCACAAATTACCCCAAAAATCCCATAAATTACCAAAAACCCCATTAAAAAATCCGATAAATGACCCCAAAAATCCCATTTAAAAATCCTATAAAAATCCCACTAATTACCCCAAAAATCCCATTTAAAAATCCCACAAATGACCCCAAAAATCCCATAAATGACCCCAAAAACCGCATTAAAAATCCCATAAGTGACCTGTAAAATCCCATTTTAAAATCCTATTAAAATCCTATAAAAATCCCACAAATTACCCCAAAAATCCCATAAATTACCCCAAAAACTCCATTAAAAAATCCCATAAATGACCCTAAAAATCCCATTTAAAAATCCTATTAAAATCCTCTAAAAATCCCACAAATTACCCCAAAAATCCCATAAATTACCTCAAAAACTCCATAAAAAAATCCCATAAATGACCCCATAAATCCCATTTAAAAATCCTATTAAAATCCTATAAAAATCCCACAAATTACCCCAAAAATCCCATAAATGACCCCTTAAAACCCATTAAAAATCTCATAAATGACCCCATAAATCCCATTTTAAAATCCTATTAAACTCCTATCAAAATCCCACAAATTACCCCAAAAATCCCATAAATGACCCCTTAAAACCCATTAAAAATCTCATAAATGACCCCAAAAATCCCATTTAAAATCCTCTAAAAATCCCACAAATTACCCCAAAAATCCCATTTAAAAATTCCACAAATGACCCCAAAAATCTCATAAATGACCCCAAAAATCCCATTTAAAAACCCTATTAAAATCCTCTAAAAATCCCACAAATTACCCCAAAAATCCCATAAAAAATCCCACAAATGACCCCAAAAATCCCATAAATGACCCCAAAAACTCCATTAAAAAATCCCATAAATGACCCCCTAAAATCCCATTTAAAAATCCTATAAAAATCCCACAAATGACCCCAAAAATCCCATAAAAAATCCCACAAATGACCCCAAAAATCCCATAAATGACCCCAAAAACCCCATTAAAAATCCCATAAGTGACCCGTAAAAAATCCCTTTTCGCATCCGCGAGCTTCTCGTCCCTCCGCGGCCGCCGTCCTTTTAAAGATGGCCGCGCGTGGCTGTACGGCAAAGGCGAGACGAGAGGGCTGAGCAAGATGGCGGCGCGCTGCCGTACAGCGTGAGGAGGCGCGGCCCAAGATGGCGGCGCGCTGCCGTACAGCGTGAGGAGGCGCGGCCCAAGATGGCGGCGCGCTGCCGTACAGCGTGAGGAGGCGCGGCCCAAGATGGCGGCGCCCTGAGCGGCTCCGGCCGAGCCATGGCGGCACCGGGAGAGGCACCGGGAGAGGCACCGGGAGAGGCGCTCCGGGCCGTGCTGCGGCCCAGCGGGGCCCTCCCGGCCGAGGCTCTCCCGGTGCGCGGCTACGACTTCTCGGGAGGCGCGGACCACGCGGCGCTGCTCCGCTCCTTCCGCACCACCGGCTTCCAGGCCACGAGCTTCGCGCAGGCGGTGGCGGAGATCGAGCGGATGGTGCGGGAGATGGGGACGCGGCGGTACCGGGGAGGGGGAGCCGGGCTCGGTGGGAGCTCCCCGGGTTCGTTTCCCGCAGATCGCGGCCAAGCTGGAGCCGCTGAGCGCGGAGCAGCGGGAGAGAGCGGCCATGGCCGGGCCGCGGCCGCCCTCGGGCTGCACCATCTTCCTCGGCTTCACCTCGAACCTCGTCAGCTCCGGCGTCAGGGAGAGCATCCGATACCTGGTGCAGCATGGCATGGTGACAGCCTGGGGACAGCTTGGGGACATGGGGACAGCCTGGGGACATGGGGACAGGGACAGGGAGAGCATCCGATACCTGGTGCAGCATGGAATGGTGACAGCTTGGGGACATGGGGACAGCTTGGGGACATGGGGACATGGGGACAGTGTGGGGACATGGGGACAGCTTGGGGACATGGGGACAGTGTGGGGACATGGGGACAGCTTGGGGACATGGGGACAGCTTGGGGACATGGGGACATGGGGACAGTGTGGGGACATGGGGACAGCTTGGGGACATGGGGACATGGGGACAGTGTGGGGACATGGGGACAGCTTGGGGACATGGGGACAGCTTGGGGACAGCTTGGGGACAGGGGGACAGTGTGGGGACATGGGGACAGCTTGGGGACATGGGGACATGGGGCAGGGACATGGGGACAGGGACAGGGAGAGGGGACAGGGACAGGGAGAGCATCCGATACCTGGTGCAGCACGGAATGGTGACAGCCTGGGGACATGGGGACAGCTTGGGGACATGGGGACAGTGTGGGGACAGGGGACAGCCTGAGGACATGGGACAGGGACAGGGGACAGCTTGGGGACATGGGGACATGGGGACAGCCTGGGAACATGGGGACAGGGGACAGGGAGAGCATCCGATACCTCGTACAGCATGGCATGGTGACAGCTTGGGGACATGGGGACAGCTTGGGGACATGGGGACAGGGACAGGGAGAGCATCCGATACCTGGTGCAGCACGGCATGGTGACAGCTTGGGGACAGCTTGGGGACAGCTTGGGGACATGGGGACAGCTTGGGGACAGGGGGACAGCTTGGGGACAGGGGGACAGCTTGGGGACATGGGGACAGGGACAGGGAGAGCATCCGATACCTGGTGCAGCACGGCATGGTGACAGCTCGGGGACATGGGACAGCTTGGGGACATGGGGACAGCCTGGGGACATGGGGACATGGGGACAGGGACAGGGGACAGCTTGGGGACAGGGTCAGGGACATGGGGACAGGGACAGGGACAGGGACAGGGACAGGGACATGGGGACAGGGACAGGGACAGGGACAGGGACATGGGGACAGCCTGGGGACATGGGGACAGGGGACAGCTTGGGGACATGGTGACAGCTTGGGGACATGGGGACATGGGGACAGGGACAGGGACAGGGGACAGCCTGGGGACAGGGGACAGGGGACAGCCTGGGGACATGGGACAGCTTGGGGACATGGGGACATGGGGACAGTGTGGGGACAGGGAGAGCATCCGATACCTGGTGCAGCACGGCATGGTGACAGCTTGGGGACATGGGGACAGCTTGGGGACATGGGGACAGGGACAGGGACAGGGAGAGCATCCAGTACCTCGTACAGCACGGCATGGTGACAGCTTGGGGACAGCTTGGGGACATGGGGACAGCCTGGGGACAGCTTGGGGACATGGGGACAGCCTTGGGACAGCTTGGGGACATGGGACAGGGAAGTCCCTGGTGTCCCTGTGAGGACCTGGGATGGTCCCTGTGAGGTTCTGGGATGGTCAGGGGGGTGTCCCTGGTGTCCCTGTGAGGTTCTGGGGGGGTCCCCATGGTCCTTGTGAGGTTCTGGGATGGTCAGGGGTGTCCCTGTGAGGTTCTGGGGGTGTCCCTGGTGTCCCTGTGAGGACCTGGGATGGTCCCTGTGAGGTTCTGGGATGGTCAGGGGTATCCCTGGTGTCCCTGTGAGGTTCTGGGATGGTCAGGGGTGTCCCTGGTGTCCCTGTGAGGTTCTGGGATGGTCAGGGGGGTGTCCCTGGTGTCCCTGTGAGGTTCTGGGATGGTCAGGGGTGTCCCTGGTGTCCCTGTGAGGTTCTGGGATGGTCAGGGGTGTCCCCATGGTCCTTGTGAGGTTCTGGGATGGTCCCTGTGAGGTTCTGGGATGGTCAGGGGTGTCCTTGGTGTCCCTGTGAGGTTCTGGGATGGTCAGAGGGGTCCCCATGGTCCTTGTGAGGTTCTGGGATGGTCAGGGGTGTCCCCATGGTCCCTGTGAGGTTCTGGGGGGGTCCCTGTGAGGTTCTGGGATGGTCAGGGGGGTGTCCCCATGGTCCTTGTGAGGTTCTGGGATGGTACCTGTGAGGTTCTGGGATGGTCAGGGGTGTCCCTGGTGTCCCTGTGAGGTTCTGGGATGGTCAGGGGGGTGTCCCCATGGTCCCTGTGAGGTTCTGGGATGGTCCCTGTGAGGTTCTGGGATGGTCCCTGTGAGGTTCTGGGGGGGTCAGGGGTGTCCCTGGTGTCCCTGTGAGGTTCTGGGATGGTCAGGGGTGTCCCCATGTTCCCTGTGAGGTTCTGGGATGGTCAGGGGTGTCCCTGGTGGCCCTGTGAGGTTCTGGGATGGTCCCTGTGAGGTTCTGGGATGGTCAGGGGGGTCCCTGGTGTCCCTGTGAGGTTCTGGGGGGGTCCCTGTGAGGTTCTGGGATGGTCCCTGTGAGGTTCTGGGATGCTCAGGGGTGTCCCTGGTGTCCCTGTGAGGACCTGGGATGGTCCCTGTGAGGTTCTGGGATGGTCAGGGGTGTCCCTGGTGTCCCTGTGAGGTTCTGGGATGCTCAGGGGGGTCCCTGGTGTCCCTGTGAGGACCTGGGGCGGCTCAGGGGGGTGTCCCCAGATGTCCCCAAGGTGCTGACCCCCTCCCCGGCCAGGTGGACGTGCTGGTGACCACGGCCGGGGGGGTGGAGGAGGACCTGATCAAGTGCCTGGCGCCCACCTACATCGGGGACTTCCAGCTGCGGGGCCGGGACCTGCGGCACAACGGCATCAACAGGTCCTGGGGGTGGGCACGGGGGGCTGGGACCCCCTTGGGGACACCCTGGGGACACCTCGGGGTCACCTCGGGGTCCCCTCAGGATCGGGAACCTGCTGGTGCCCAACGATAACTACTGCAAGTTCGAGGACTGGCTGATGCCCATCCTGGAGAGGATGGTGGACGAGCAGGACACGCAGGTGAGGGGTGGGGGAACCCCCAAATCGGGACCCCACGGGGCTGGGAGGGGGCTCCAGGGGGTCCCTGGATAGCTGGGGTGGGATTTTGGGGGGTCCTGGATAGCTGGGGTGGGATTTTGGTGGTCCCTGGACACCTGGGGTGAAGTTTGGGAGGTTCCTGGACACCTGGGGTGGGAATTTTGGGGGTTCCTGGACACCCGGGGTGGGATTTTGGTGGTCCCTGAATATCTGGGGTGGGATTTTGCTGGTCCCTGGACACCCGGGGTGGGATTTTGGGGGTCCCTGGACACCTGGGGTGGGATTTTGGTGGTTCCTGGACACCTGGGATGGGATTTTAGGTGTTGCTGGACACCTGGGGTGGGATTTTGGTGGTCCCTGAATATCTGGGGTGGGATTTTGGGGTTCCCTGAATATCTGGGGTGGGATTTTGGGGGTCCCTGGACACCTGGGGTGGGATTTTGGTGGTTCCTGGACACCTGGGGTGGGATTTTAGGTGTTGCTGGACACCTGGGGTAGGATTTTGGTGGTCCCTGAATATCTGGGGTGGGATTTTGGGGGTCCCTGAATATCTGGGGTGGGATTTTGGGGGTTCCTGGACACCTGGGATGGGATTTTGGTGGTCCCTGAATATCTGGGGTGGGATTTTGGTGGTCCCTGGACACCTGGGGTGGGATTTTGGTGGTCCCTGAATATCTGGGGTGGGATTTTGGTGGTCCCTGAATATCTGGGGTGGGATTTTGGTGGTCCCTGAATTTCTGGGGTGGGATTTTGGGGTTCCCTGGACACCTGGGGTGGGATTTTGGTGGTCCCTGGACACCTGGGATGGGATTTTGGTGGTCCCTGAATATCTGGGGTGGGATTTTGGTGGTCCCTGAATATTTGGGTGGGATTTTGGTGGTCCCTGGACACCTGGGATGGGATTTTGGTGGTCCCTGACTATCTGGGGTGGGATTTTGGGGTTCCCTGAATATCTGGGGTGGGATTTTGGTGGTCCCTGAATATCTGGGGTGGGATTTTGGTGGTCCCTGGACACCTGGGATGGGATTTTGGGGTTCCCTGAATATCTGGGGTGGGATTTTGGTGGTCCCTGGACACCCGGGGTGGGATTTTGGGGGTTCCTGGACACCTGGGGTGGGATTTTGGTGGTCCCTGGACACCTGGGGTGGGATTTTGGTGGTCCCTGGACACCCGGGGTGGGATTTTGGTGGTCCCTGAATATCTGGGGTGGGATTTTGGGGTTCCCTGAATATCTGGGATGGGATTCTGGGGGTCCCTGGACACCCGGGGTGGGATTTTGGGGGTTCCCTGGACACCTGGGGTGAAGTTTGGGAGGTTCCTGGACACCTGGGGTGAGGTTTGGGGTCTCCCTGAACACCCGGGGTGGGATTTTGGTGGTCCCTGACTATCTGGGGTGGGATTTTGGGGTTCCCTGGACACCTGGGGTGGGATTTTGGGGGGTCCTGGACACCTGGGGTGGGATTTTAGGTGTTGCTGGACACCTGGGATGGGATTTTGGGGGTCCCTGAATATCTGGGGTGGGATTTTGGGGTTCCCTGGACACCTGGGGTGGGATTTTGGGCTTCCCTGGACACCTGGGGTGGGAATTTTGGGGGTCCCTGGACACCCGGGGTAGGATTTTGGTGGTCCCTGAATATCTGGGGTGGGATTTTGGTGGTCCCTGGACACCCGGGGTGGGATTTTGGTGGTTCCTGGACACCTGGGGTGGGATTTTGGGGGGTCCCTGAATATCTGGGGTGGGATTTTGGGGGTCCCTGGACACCTGGGGTGGGATTTTTATGGTCCCTGGACACCTAGGGTGAAGTTTGGGAGGTTCCTGGACACCCGGGGTGAGGTTTGGGGTCTCCCTGGACACCTGGGGTGGGATTTTGGTGGTCCCTGAATATCTGGGGTGGGATTTTGGTGGTCCCTGAATATCTGGGGTGGGATTTTGGTGGTTCCTGGACACCTGGGATGGGAATTTTGGGGGTCCCTGGACACCTGGAATGGGAATTTTGGGGGTCCCTGGACACCTGGGGTGGGATTTTGGTGGTCCTTGAATATCTGGGGTGGGATTTTGGTGGTCCCTGGACACCTGGGGTGAGGTTTGGGGTCTCCCTGGACACCTGGGATGGGATTTTGGTGGTCCCTGAATATCTGGGGTGGGATTTTGGGGTTCCCTGGACACCTGGGGTGGGATTTTAGGTGTTGCTGGACACCTGGGATGGGAATTTTGGGGGTTCCTGGACACCTGGGGTGGGATTTTAGGTGTTTCTGGACACCTGGGATGGGATTTTGGGGTCTCCCTGGACACCTGGGATGGGATTTTGGGGTCTCCCTGGACACCCGGGGTGGGAGTTTGGTGGTTCCTGAATATCTGGGGTGGGATTTTGGGGGGTCCTGGATAGTTTGGGTGGGATTTTGGGGGGTCCTGGACACCTGGGGTGGGATTTTGGTGGTCCCTGGACACCTGGGGTGAAGTTTGGGAGGTCCCTGGACACCTGGGGTGGGATTTTGGGGTTCCCTGGACACCTGGGATGGGATTCTGGGGGTCCCTGAATATCTGGGGTGGGATTTTGGGGGTCCCTGAATATCTGGGGTGGGATTTTGGTGGTCCCTGAATATCTGGGGTGGGATTTTGGGGTTCCCTGGACACCTAGGGTAGGATTTTGGTGGTCCCTGAATATCTGGGGTGGGATTTTGGGGGTCCCTGAATATCTGGGGTGGGATTTTGGGGGTCCCCGAATATCTGGGGTGGGATTTTGGTGGTCCCTGGACACCTAGGGTGAAGTTTGGGAGGTTCCTGGACACCTGGGGTGAGGTTTGGGGTCTCCCTGGACACCCGGGGTGGGATTTTGGTGGTCCCTGAATATCTGGGGTGGGATTTTGGGGGTCCCTGAATATCTGGGGTGGGATTTTGGGGGTCCCCGAATATCTGGGGTGGGATTTTGGTGGTCCCTGAATATCTGGGGTGGGATTTTGGGGTTCCCTCGACACCTGGGGTGGGATTTTAGGTGTTGCTGGACACTTGGGATGGGAATTTTGGGGGTTCCTGGACACCCGGGGTGGGATTTTGGTGGTCCCTGGACACCTAGGGTGAAGTTTGGGAGGTTCCTGGACACCTGGGGTGAGGTTTGGGGTCTCCCTGGACACCTGGGATGGGATTTTGGTGGTCCCTGAATATCTGGGGTGGGATTTTGGGGTCTCCCCGGACACCTGGGATGGGATTTTGGGGTTCCCTGGACACCTGGGATGGGATTTTGGGGTTCCCTGGACACCCAGGATGGGATTTTGGTGGTCCCTGAATATCTGGGGTGGGATTTTGGGGTTCCCTGAATATCTGGGTTGGGATTTTGGGGGTCCCTGGACACCTGTGGCCCCCCTGGCCGGGCTTGCCGAGCTGGGTCCCCACAGGGCGTGCGGTGGACGCCGTCCCGGATGATCGCCCGGCTGGGCAAGGAGATCAACAACCCCGAGTCCATCTGTTACTGGGCCCAGAAGGTACCGGAGGAGGTGGGGGGACACTTTTGGGGTGACATTTGGGGGTCGCTGGTGGGGAGTCACCGATTGTCACCACTTTTGGTGGCAGAACAACATCCCGGTGCTGAGCCCGGCGCTCACCGACGGCTCCTTGGGCGACATGATCTTCTTCCACTCCTACAAACGCCCGGGGCTCGTGCTGGACATCGTGGAGGGTAAGTGGGGCACCCCACAGATTTTTGGGGTGCCCTGAGGGGCTCCCTGATCCCCCCAAAACCTGTGGTTCATCCACCCACAGACCTGCGCCTCATCAACACCCAGGCCATCTTCGCCCGCAAAACCGGCATGATCATCCTGGGCGGGGGTTTGGTCAAGCACCACATCGCCAACGCCAACCTCATGGTGAGAGTGGGGGACCCCCCCCCAAATATTGATAGGGAAAAGATTTGGGGACCCCCCGAGGTGGGGTTTGGGGGTGCTCACCCCGGTGTCTGCGCAGAGGAACGGCGCCGATTTCTCCGTCTACGTCAACACGGCGCAAGAGTTCGACGGCTCCGACTCGGGCGCGCGGCCGGACGAGGCCGTGTCCTGGGGCAAGATCCGCGTGGACGCCACGCCCGTCAAGGTTGGGGGGCTCCGTGGGGGGGGCGGATGGTTTTGGGGGGAATTTGGGGGGTTTTTGTTGTGACCCCGCCGCTCTCGGTCAGGTCTACGCCGACGCCTCGCTCGTCTTCCCGTTGCTCGTGGCCGAGACGTTCGCACGGAGCGCCGACGCATTCGGGGTGCCGGCGGGGACCCCCGAGGCGTGAGGGACCCCCAAAGCCTGGAGACCCTCAAGAACTGAGGGACCCCTGAGGCCTGGGGGCACCCAAGATGTGAGAGACCCCCAAAGCCTGAGGGACCCCCAAAGCCTGAGGGACCCCCGAGGCCTGAGGGACCCCAAAGCCTGGAGACCCTCAAGAACCTCAAGAACTGAGGGACCCCTGAGGCCTGGGGGCACCCAAGATGTGAGAGACCCCCAAAGCCTGAGGGACCCCCAAAGCCTGAGGGACCCCCAAGAACTGAGGGACCCCCGAGGCGTGAGGGACCCCCAAAGCCTGAGGGACCCCCAAGAACTGAGGGACCCCCGAGAACTGAGGGACCCCCGAAGCGTGAGGGACCCCCAAAGCTTGGAGACCCTCAAGAACCTCAAGAACTGAGGGACCCCTGAGGCCTGGGGACCCCCGAGGCCTGAGAGACACCCAAAGCCTGAGGGACCCCCAAGGCCTGTGGGACCCCCAAAACTTGAGGGACCCCCAAGGCCTGAGGGACCCCTGAGGCCTGAGGGACCCCTGAGGCCTGAGAGACCCCCAAGGCTTGATGGACCCCCAAGGCCTGAGAGACCCCCGAGGCCTGAGGGACCCCTGAGGCCTGAGGGACCCTCAAAGGCCTGAGAGACTCCCAAGGCCTGAGAGACCCCCGAGGCCTGAGGGACCCCCGAGGAATGACGGACCCCAAAGGCCTGAGAGACTTCCAAGGCCTGGGGACCCTCAAAGGCCTGAGAGACCCCCAAGGCCTGTGGGACCCTCAAAGGCCTGAGGGACTCCCAAGGCCTGAGGGACCCCCAAAGCCTGAGGGACCCCAAAGCCTGAGGGACCCCAAAGCCTGGAGACCCCCAAAGCCTGGAGACCCCCAAAGCCTGAGGGACCCCCAAAGCCTGAGGGACCCCTGAGGCCTGAGGGACCCCCAAGACCTGAGGGACCCCCAAGACCTGAGGGACTCCCAAGGCCTGAGGGACCCCCAAGACCTGAGAGACCCCCCAAGGCCTGTGGGACCCTCAAAGGCCTGAGAGACTCACAAGGCCTGAGGGACCCCAAAGCCTGAGGGACCCCAAAGCCTGAGGGACCCCCAAGACCTGAGGGACCCCCAAGACCTGAGGGACCCCCAAGACCTGAGGGACCCCAAAGGCCTGAGAGACTCCCAAGGCCTGTGGGACCCCCAAGGCCTGAGGGACCCCCAAGACCTGAGGGACCCCAAAGGCCTGAGAGACTCCCAAGACCTGAGGGACCCCCAAGACCTGAGGGACCCCCAAGACCTGAGGGACCCCAAAGGCCTGAGAGACTCCCAAGGCCTGTGGGACCCCCAAGGCCTGTGGGACCCCCAAGGCCTGAGGGACCCCAAAGGCCTGAGAGACCCCTGAGGCCTGGGGACCCCCAAAACTTGAGGGACCCCCAAGGCCTGAGAGACTCCAAAGGCCTGTGGGACCCCCAAGGCCTGAGAGACCCCAAAGGCCTGAGGGACCCCAAAGCCTGAGGGACCCCCAAGGCCTAAGAGACCCCCAAAGCATGAGACCCCCTTTTCATGACCCCCTCCCCGCAGCGCTTGTGATTATTTATTGGAGCTGCCAATAAAGCAGAGCAGGGTTTATTTATCCACGGGGGAATTTATTCCTTGTGCCACCTCCAGCACTGAGGGAAAACAAGGGAAAACACATGGAAAACACTAAAAAAAAACCCACGGAAAATATGGGAAAAAAACATGGAAAATACAGGAAAAACATGGAAAATATGGGAAAAAACATGTAAAATATGGGAAAAAACATGGAAAATATGGGAAAAAACATGGAAAATATATGGTAAAAACATGGAAAATACGGGAAGAAACATGGAAAATATTGGAAAAGACATGGAAAATATGGGAAAAAAACATGGAAAATAAGGGAAAAAAACATGGAAAATATGGGAAAAAACATGGAAAATATGGGGAAAATCATGGAAAATATGGGAAAAAACATGGAAAATATATGGTAAAAACATGGAAAATATGGGAAAAAACGTGGGAAATATGGGAAAAAACATGGAAAATATGGGAAAAAACATGGAAAATATATGGTAAAAATACGGGAACAAACGTGGGAAATATGGGAAAAACATGGAAAATATGGGAAAAAACATGGAAAATATATGGTAAAAATACGGGAAAAAACGTGGGAAATATGGGAAAAAACGTGGAAAATACGGGAAAAAACGTGGGAAATATGGGAAAAATATGGGAAAAACCGTGAAAATATGGGAAAAACATGGAAAATATGGGAAAAACCATGTAAAATATGGGAAAAACCATGGAAAATATGGGAAAAAACATGGAAAATATATGGTAAAAACATGGAAAATATGGGAAAAACCATGGAAATATGGGGAAAAAACATGGAAAATATGGGAGAACAACATGGAAAATACGGGAAATAACGTGGAAAGTTCCAGAAAAAATATGGGAAAAATACATGGAAATTATGGAAAAAACCATAGAAAATATGTGAAAAAAACACGGAAAATACGGGAATAAATATGGAAAATATGGGAAAAATACATGGAAAATATGGGAAAAAACGCGGGAAATATGGGAAAAACATGGAAAATATATGGTAAAAACATGGAAAATATGGGAAAAACCATGGAAAATACGGGAAAACCATGGCAAATACTGGAAAAATCATAGAAATTGCAGGAAAACCCATGGAAATTCCGGAATAAAAAGCTGCTCAGGGCAATAAGCCCCCGTCAGGTTTTGGGGAAAAACATGGAAAATACGGGAAAAAACATGGAAAATATGGGGAAAATCATGGAAAATATGGGAAAAACCGTGGAAAATATGGGGAAAATCATGGAAAATATGGGAAAAAATGTGGAAAATACGGGAAAAAACGTGGGAAATATGGGAAAAAACGTGGTAAATATGGGAAAAAATGTGGGAAATATGGGAAAAAACGTGGAAAATATGGGAAAAACATGGAAAATATGGGAAATAACGTGGAAAGTTCCAGAAAAAATATGGGAAAAATACATGGAAATTATGGAAAAAACGTGGAAAATACGGCAAAAAACGTGGGAAATATGGGAAAAGCATGGAAAATACCGGAAAAAACATGGAAAATATGGGAAAACCATGGCAAATACTGGAAAAACCATAGAAATTTTAGGAAAACCCATGGAAATTCCGGACTAAGAACCTGCTCAGGGGACTCAGCCCCCGTCAGGGTTCGGGGTCCCCCTCGGGCCGGAAGCTCTCCTCGCGCCACAGCGTCACCTGGCCCTGGGTGGCCGCCAGCAGGCAGGGCAGGCGCGGGTGGAAGGCCAAGGACTGCACCACGCCCGGGCCCACGGGCAGGCTGAGCGCCAGCGAGCCCTGGGGGGACAGCGGGGGGCTCAGGGGGGTCCCCGAATCCCCCCGAGTCCCCCCGAATCATCCCGAATCCCCCCGAATCCCCCCGCTCACCTCCAGCAGGTCCCAGAAATACACGCGGCCGTCCTCGGAGGCGCAGCCCACGTGCGTGTCCAGCTCGTTGAGGACGCAGTCCAGGCGGTACGCGGTGCTGCGGTGCCCCGTGTACCTGCAGGAGAGAGAATTCGCGCTGTTCCTAATGCCAGACACGCGGTGTTGAATATTTGTTACAGTTCCATGGGTTTTCCCGTATTTTCCATGGTTTTTCCAGAATTTTCCATGTTTTTTCCAGAATTTTCCATGTTTTTTCCAGTATTTTCCACGTTTTTTTCCCATATTTCCCATGTTTTTCCCATATTTTCCATGTTTATTCCGGTATTTTCCGTGTTTTTTTCACATATTTTCCATGTTTATTCCCATATTTTCCATGTATTTTTCCCATATTTTCCATATTTATTCCCGTATTTTCCACATTTATTCCCATATTTTCCATGTATTTTTTCCATATCTTCCATATTTATTCCCGTATTTTCCATGTTTTTTCCGGAATTTTCCATGTTTATTTCCCATATTTTCCATGTTTATTCCGATATTTTCCATGTATTTTTCCCATATTTTCCATATTTATTCCCGTATTTTCCATGTTTTTTCCAGTATTTTCCATGTTTTTTCCAGAATTTTCCATGTTTATTCTCATATTTTCCATGTTTTTTTCTGGAATTTTCCACGTTATTTCCCATATTTTCCACATTTATTCCCATATTTTCCATGTTTTTTTCCGGAATTTTCCACGTTATTTCCCGTATTTTCCATGTTGTTCTCCCATATTTTCCACGTTTATTTCCCATATTTTCCAGGTTTATTCCCATATCTTCCATGTTTTTCCCCATATTTTCCATGTTTATTCCCATATTTTCCATGTATTTTCCCATATTTTCCATGTTTTATTCCCGTATTTTCCACGTTTATTTCCCATATTTTCCATGTTTATTCTGGTATTTTCCATGTTTTTTTCCCCATATTTTCCATGTTTTTTCCCATATTTTCCATATTTATTCCCGTATTTTCCATGTTTTTTCCCCATATTTTCCATGTTTATTCCCATATTTCCCATGTATTTTCCCCATATTTTCCATATTTATTCCGGTATTTTCCGTGTTTTTTTCACATATTTTCTATGGTTTTACCCATATTTTCCATGTTTTTTTCCCGTATTTTCCATGTTTTTTCTGGAATTTTCCACGTTATTTCCCGTATTTTCCATGTTGTTCTCCCATATTTCCCATGTTTTTTTCCCATATCTTCCATGTTTATTCCCATATTTCCCATGTTTTTTTCCCATATTTTCCATGTTTTTCCCATATTTTCCATGTTATTTTCCTTGTTTATTCCCATATTTCCCATGTTTTTTTCCCATATCTTTCATGTTTTTTCCCGTATTTTCCATGTTTTTTTCCCATATTTTCCACGTTTATTTCCCGTATTTTCCATGGTTTTTTCCTGTATTTTCCTTGTTTATTCCCATATTTCCCATGTTTTTTTCCCATATTTTCCATATTTATTCCCGTATTTTCCATGTTTTTTTCACATATTTTCTATGTTTTTTTCCATAATTTCCATGTATCTTCCCCATATTTTCCATGTTTTTTCTGGAATTTTCCACATTATTTCCCATATTTTCCATGTTTTTTTCCTGTATTTTCCTTGTTTATTCCCATATTTCCCATGTTTATTCCCATATTTCCCATGTTTTTTCCCCATATTTTCCATGTTTTTTTCCCATATTTTCCCTGTTTATTTCCCGTATTTTCCATGTTTTTTTCCCATATTTCCCATGTTTTTTTCCCTGTATTTTCCATGTTTTTTTCCCATATTTTCCTTGTTTATTCCCATATTTCCCATGTTTTTTTCCCATATTTCCCATGTTTTTTTCCCATATCTTCCATGTTTTTCCCCATATTTCCCATGTTTTTTTTCCATATTTTCCATGTTTTTTCCAGTATTTCCCATGTTTTTTTCCCATATCTTCCATGTTTTTTTCCCATATTTTCCTTGTTTTTTTCCCATATTTTCCATGTTTTTTTTCCCATATTTTCCACGTTTATTTCCCGTATTTTCCATGTTTTGTTCCTGTATTTTCCTTGTTTATTCCCATATTTCCCATGTTTTTTTCCCATATTTTCCACATTTATTCCCATATTTTCCATGTTTTTTTCCCATATTTTCCATGTTTTTTTCCCATATCTTCCATGGTTTTCCCCATATTTTCCATGTTTTTTTCCCATATTTTCCATGTTTTTTCCCATATTTCCCATGTTTTTCCCATATTTTCCATGTTTTTCTCACATTTTCCATGTTTTTCCCCATATTTTCCATATTTTTCCCCATATTTCCCATGTTTTTTTCCTGTATTTTCCATGTTTTTCCCATATTTTCCATGTTTTTTCCCATATTTTCCATGTTTATTCCCATATTTCCCATGTTTTTTTCCCATATTTTCCACGTTTCTTTCCCGTATTTTCCATGTTTTTTTCCCATATTTTCCATGTTTATTCCCATATTTCCCATGTTTTTTTCCCATATCTTCCACGTTTTTTCCCATATTTTCCATGTTTTTTCCCATATTTTCCACGTTTTTCCCTGTATTTTCCAAGTTTTTATCCAAAATAACTGCTGAAATCTTGGCCTGAGGCGGAATTTTCCCTCCAAAACCCGAATTTCCCCTATAAATTCACCTTTTCCAGGACAGAGGTGTGAAAACCTCATTGCACACCCCGGGCTCGGCTCTGCTCTTTCCTCAGATAAAATTTGATTTTTTCACAGTGATTTGGCTGGACAAATTGTCACTTTTCACCCCCAGAACCGCCCCCCGATGGGAATTTGGGGATTTTTTTGGGGGTCCCGTACTCGCCCAGCAGCTCCCCGGTGTCCTTGTCCAGCAGGCGCAGCGTGGAGTCCAGGCTGGCGGCCAGCACGCACTGCCCGTCCTTGCTGAAGCACACGCTGCTGATGGGACCTGGGGGCACACGTGGCGAGTTTTGGGGGTCCCACCCAGCCCCCCAAAAATTTTGGGGACCCCTCCTCAAGCCCCACTCACTGCCGATGTAATCGGAGCAGAGCCGCCCCGCGCGCAGATCGTAACGCCGCACGCGCCCGTCCACGGAGCTGTGGGGAGATGGGGGGAGCTTTGGGGGTCCAGCCTCAGTTTTGGGGTGCCCGGCGGAGCTCGGGGGGTGTCGGTGTCCCTCACCCCGTCAGGATCTCGTGGGCCGAGAGCTTCAGGCTGGAGATGCCGTCCGTGGCCTCGTCCAGAACCTGCACGGGGTCGGGGCGGCGGGAGCGGCAGTCCCAGCAGCGCACCGAGGAGTCGATGGAGCCTGGGGGGAAATGGGGGGAAAAATGGGGGGTGAGGGGGAGAAAATGTGGGGTTTGGGGGGGAAAAGAGGGGTTTAGGGGGAAAAGAGGGGTTTAGGGGGGAAAAATGGGGGTTTGGGGGGAAAATGGGGGGTTTGGGGGAAAAAAGGGGGTTTAGGGGGGAAAAACGGGGGGATCAGGGGGGAAAAGGGGTGAGGGGGGAGAAAATGGGGGGATCAGGGGGAAAAACGGGGGGTTCAGGGGGAAAACGGGGGGTTTAGGGGGAAAAAGGATCGGGGGAAAAAGGGATCAGGGGAAAAACGGGGGGTTCAGGGGGAAAAAAGGGGGTTTAGGGGGGAAAAATGGGGGGTTTGGGGGGAAAAATGGGGGTTTGGGGGGAAAAAAGGGGGTTCGGGGGGAAAAAAGGGGGATCAAAGGGAAAAACAGGGAATAAAAGGGGAAAAAAGCGGGGTTTAGGGGGAAAAAAGTGGGGTTCGGGGAGAAAAATGGGGGTTCGGGGGAAAAATGGGGGGTTTAGGGGGAAAATGGGGGGTTTAGGGGGAAAAAAGGGGGATTTAGGGGGGCAAATTGGGGAGTTTAGGGGGAAAAATGGGGGGTTCGGTGGAAAAATGGGGGGTTCAGGGGGAAAAAAGGGGGTTTAGGGGGGAAAATGGGGGGTCAGGGGGGAAAAGGGGTGAGGGGGGAGAAAATGGGGGGTTTGGGGGGAAAAATGTGGGGTTCGGGGGGAAATTGGGGGGTTTAGGGGGGAAACGTGAGGGATCAGAGGGAAAAATGGGGGGTTTGGGGGAAAAATGGGGGATCAAAGGGAAAAACAGGGAATAAAAGGGAAAAGAAGCGGGGTTTAGGGGGAAAAATGGGGGGATCAGGGGGAAAAAGGGGTGGGGGGGAAAAGGGGAGATTTAGGGGAAAAAGGGGGTTTAGGGGGGCAAATTGGGGGGTTTAGGGGGGCAAATTGGGGGGTTTAGGGGGAAAAAGGGGGGTTTAGGGGGAAAAATGGGGGGTTTAGGGGGAAAAAAGGGGGATTTAGGGGGGAAATGGGCGGTTCAGGGGGAAAAAAGGGGGTTTAGGGGGAAAAACGGGGGTTCAGGGGGGAAAAATGAGGGTTCGGGGGGAAAATGGGCGGTTCGGGGGGAAAAATGTGGGTTCAGGGGGGAAAAATGGGGGGTTCAGGGGGGAAAAACGTGGGGTTCGGGGGAAAAATGGGGGTTTAGGGGGAAAATGGGGGGTTTGGGGAAAAAATGGGGGGTTTAGGGGGAAAATGGGGGGTTTGGGAGGAAAATGGGGGGTTTAGGGGGGAAACGTGAGGGATCAGAGGGAAAAATGGGGGGTTCGGGGGGAAAAAAGGGGGGATCAGGGGGAAAAATGGGGGTTTAGGAGGAAAAAAGTGGGGTTCGGGGGAAAAACGGGGAGTTTAGGGAGGAAAAGGGGTGAGGGGGGAGAAAATGGGGGGTTTGGGGGGGAAACGTGAGGGATCAGAGGGAAAAATGGGGGGATCAGGGGGAAAAAGGGGGGTTCAGGGGGGAAAAATGGGGGGAAAAATGGGGGAAAAAAGGGGGTTTAGGGGGAAAAAAGGGGGTTCAGAGGGAAAAACAGGGAGTTTAGGGGGAAAAATGGGGGGTTCGGGGGGAAAAAAGGGGGGGATCAGGGGGAAAAATGGGGGTTTAGGGGGAAAAATGGGGGTTTGGGGGGAAACGTGAGGGATCAGAGGGAAAAATGGGGGTTCGGGGGGAAACATGGGGGATCAGAGGGAAAAATGGGGGATCAAAGGGAAAAACAGGGAATAAAAGGGAAAAATGGGGATTTAGGGGGAAAAAAGGGGGTTCAGGGTGGGAAAAGGGGTGCGGGGGTACCTCGGGGTGACCCCCAAAACCAAATCCCTCACCCGACACAATGACCGTGGACTCCTCATTGAACTGCACACAGTTCACCTTCTGTGGGAAAAGGGAAATGGGGAGCACATCCCAAACCCCCTCCCCAAATCAAACCCCCTCCCCAAATTCCAAACCCCAAACCCCCTCCCCAAATTAAATCCCAAACCCCCTCCTCAAATCACATCCCAAATCCCAAACCCCCTCCTCAAATCAAACCAAATCAAATCCCAAACCCCCTCCTCAAATCAAATCAAACCCCAAACCCCCTCCTCAAATCCCACCCCCCAAACCCCCTCCCCAAATCAAACCCCCCAAACCCCCTCCCCAAATCAAACCCCCCAAACCCCCTCCCCAAATCAAATCCCAAACCCCCTCCCCAAATCAAACCCCAAACCCGAAACCCCCTCCTCAAATAACATCCCAAACCCCCTCCCCAAATTCCAAACCCCCTCCCCAAATCAAACCCCAAACCCCCTCCCCAAATCAAACCCCAAACCCCCTCCCCAAATCCCCCCAAAACCCCCTCCCCAAATCAAACCCCAAACCCCAAACCCCCTCCCCAAATCACATCCCAAACCCCCTCCCCAAATCACATCCCAAACCCCCTCCCCAAATCACATCCCAAACCCCCTCCCCAAATCCCAAACCCCCTCCTCAAATAACATCCCAAACCCCCTCCCCAAATCCCAAATCCCAAACCCCCTCCCCAAATCAAACCCCAAACCCCCTCCCCAAATCAAACCCCAAACCCCCTCCCCAAATCAAACCCCAAACCCCCTCCCCAAATCCCACCCCCCAAACCCCCTCCCCAAATCAAACCCCAAACCCCCTCCCCAAATCAAATCCCAAACCCCCTCCCCAAATCCCAAACCCCCTCCCCAAATAACATCCCAAACCCCCTCCTCAAATCAAATGCCACCCCCCAATCCCCCTCCCCAAATCAAACCCCAAACCCCCTCCTCAAATCAAATCAAATCCCAAACCCCCTCCTCAAATCAAATGCCACCCCCCAATCCCCCTCCTCAAATCAAACCCCAAACCCCCTCCTCATATAAAATCTCAAACCCCCTCCCCAAATCAAATCAAATCCCAATCCCCCTCCCCAAATCAAACCCCAATCCCCCTCCCCAAATCCCACCCCCAAACCCCCTCCTCAAATCAAATCCCAAACCCCCTCCTCAAATTAAATCAAATCAAATCCCAAACCCCCTCCTCATATAAAATCCCAAACCCCCTCCTCAAACCCCAAACCCCCTCCCCAAATCCCACCCCCCAAACCCCCTCCTCAAATCAAACCCCAAACCCCCTCCCCAAATCAAATAAAATCCCAAACCCCCTCCTCAAATCAAATCAAACCCCCTCCTCAAATCAAATCCCAAACCCCCTCCTCAAATCAAACCAAATCCCAAACCCCCTCCCCAAATCAAACCCCAAACCCCCTCCCCAAGTCCCCCCCCAAAACCCCCAAATCAAATCAAACCCCAATCCCCCATCCCAAATCCCCCCCCAATCCCCCTCCCCAAATCCCACTCTCCAATCCCCCATCCCAAATCAAACCCCAAACCCCCTCCTCAAATCAAACCAAACCCCCTCCTCAAATCAAACCCCAAACCCCAAACCCCCTCCTCAAATAAAATCAAATCAAATCCCAAACCCCCTCCTCATATAAAATCTCAAACCCCCTCCTCAAATCAAATCAAATCAAACCCCAAACCCCCTCCCCAAATCAAACCCCAATCCTCCTCCTCAAATCAAATCAAATCAAATCTCAAACCCCCTCCCCAAATCTCCCACCCCCCAATCCCACTCCCCAAATCCCACCCCAAACCCCTCCTCAAATCAAATCAAATCAAATCAAATCAAATCAAACCCCAATCCCCCTCCCCAAATCCCACCCCAATCCCCCTCCTCAAATCCCAGCCCCCAATCCCCCTCCCCAAATCAAATCCCAAACCCCCTCCTCATATAAAATCTCAAACCCCCTCCTCAAATCAAATCAAATCAAATCCCAAACCCCCTCCTCAAATCAAATCAAATCCCAAACCCCCCCCTCAAATCAAACCCCAAACCCCAAACCCCCTCCCCAAATCAAACCCCAAGCCCCCTCCTCAAATCAAATCAAATCAAATGAAATCCCAAACCCCCTCCCCAAATCCCACCCCCCAAACCCCCTCCCCAAATCCCCCCCAATCCCTCTCCTCAAATCAAACCCCCTCCTCAAATCAAACCCAAACCCCCTCCTCAAATCAAATCAAATCCCAAACCCCCTCCCCAAATCAAATCAAATCAAATCAAATCAAATCAAATCAAATCCCAAACCCCCATCCCAAATCCCCCCCAATCCCCCTCCCCAAACCCCCCCAAATCCCCCCAGCCCCCTCCTCACCCCGGCGTGCCCCCGGTACTTCCGCACCGCCCGCCCGGTGCTGACGTCCCAGAGCGCCACGGCTCTGTCGGCACCGCCCGAGCAGATCTGGCTGTTGTCCGAGGATCTGCGGGCACCGGGATTTGGGGGGTCCCGGTAACGGGGGGGGGTCCCGGTAACGGGGAGGGGTCCCGGTAACGGGGAGGGGTCCCGGTAACGGGGGGGGGTCCCGGTAACGGGGAGGGGTCCCGGTAACGGGGAGGGGTCCCGGTAACGGGGAGGGGTCCCGGTAACGGGGAGGGGTCTCAATAACGGGGGGGGGTCCCGGTACCGGGAGGGGGGTCCTGATAATGGGGGGGGGTCCCGGTAATGGGGAGGGGTCCCGGTAACGGGGAGGGGTCCCGGTAACGGGGAGGGGTCCCGGTAACGGGGAGGAGTCCCGGTAACGGGGAGGGGTCCCGGTAATGGGGAGGGGTCCCGGTAATGGGGGGGGGGGTCCCAGTAATGGGGAGGGGTCCCGGTAACGGGGAGGGGTCCCGGTAATGGGGGGGGGTCCCGGTAATGGGGAGGGGTCCCGGTAATGGGGAGGGGTCCCGGTAACGGGGGGGGTCCCGGTAACGGGGAGGGGTCCCGGTAATGGGGAGGGGTCCCGGTAACGGGGGAGGGGTCCCGGTAACGGGGAGGGGTCCCGGTAATGGGGAGGGGTCCCGGTAACGAGGGATGGGTCCCGGTAATGAGGAGGGGTCCCAGTAACGGGTCCCGGTAATGGGGGAGGGTCCCGGTAACGGGGAGGGTCCCGGTAACCGGAGGGGTCCCGGTAACGGGAGAGGTCCCATTAACAGGGAGGGGTCCCGGTAACGGGGAGGGGGTCCCGGTAATGGGGGTGGTCCCGGTAATGAGGAGGGGTCCCGGTAACGGGAGGGGTCCCGGTAATGGGAGGGGTCCCGGTAACGGGGAGGGGTCCCGGTAACAGGGAGGGGTCCCGGTAATGGGGGAGGGGTCCCGGTAACGGGGAGGGGTCCCGGTAATGGGGAGGGGTCCCGGTAACGGGGGAGGGGTCCCGATAACGGGGAGGGGTCCCGGTAATGGGGAGGGGTCCCGGTAACGGGGGGGGGGGTAACGGGGGGGGGTCCCGGTAACGGGGAGGGGTCCCGGTAACGGGGAGGGGTCCCGGTAACGGGTAACGGGGAGGGGTCCCGGTAACGGGGGAGGGGTCCCGGTAATGGGGGGGGTCCCGGTAACGGGGGGGGGTCCCGGTAATGGGGAGGGGTCCCGGTAACGGGGAGGGGTCCCGGTAACGCGGAAGGGGTCCCGGTAACGGGGAGGGGTCCCGGTAATGGGGAGGGGTCCCGGTAACGGGTGGGGGTCCCGGTAAAGGGGAGGGGTCCCGGTAATGAGGAGGGGTCCCGGTAACAGGGAGGGGTCCCGGTAACGGGGAGGGGGGTCCCGGTAACGGGGAGGGGTCCCGGTAATGGGGAGGGGTCCCGGTAACCGGAGGGGTCCCGGTAACGGGGAGGGGTCCCGGTAACGGGGAGGGGTCCCGGTAATGGGGAGGGGTCCCGGTAACCGGGAGGGGTCCCGGTAACGGGGAGGGGTCCCCCCGAGTCCCCCTTACCCCGCGGCGTCCAGCACCTCGTAGCCGTGGCCCGGGAAGGAGCGCAGCGCCGTGCCCCGGTGCGGGTTCCAGAGCTTCAGCGTCTTGTCGCTGCCGCACGTCAGGCAGTAGTTACCGTCCGCTGCGGGACGGCGTCAGCACCGGGATCACCGGGATCACCGGGATTACCGGGGTTACCGGGGAACGGCCGTGAGCACCGGGACACGAGGGATCACCAGGGATCAGCGAGGGATCACCGGGACACCGGGGGATCGACACCGGGGATCACCGGGACCCCCGGGCCGTGAGCACCGGGACACCGGGACATCACCGGGATTACCGAGGGATCACCGGGGCACCGGGACACCGGGACACCAGGCCGTGAGCACCGGGACACCGGGAGCATCGGGGATTACCGGTCCGTGAGCACCGGGCACCGGGAGATCACCGGGGATTACCGGGGAACGGCCGTGAGCACCGGGACACCGGGACACCGGGGGATCACCGGGATCACCGGGACACCGGGACACCGGACACCGGGGATTACTGGGACACCAGGACCACCGGGACACCGGGGGATGACCGGGGCATTGACACCGGGACACCGGGACACCGGGATCACCGGGGGATCGACACTGGGGATCACCGGGGATTACCGGGCCGTGAGCACCGGGACACCAGGACACCGGGACACCGGGGGATCGACACTGGGGATCACCGGGGATTACCGGGCTGTGAGCACCGGGACACCGGGATACCGGGACACCGGGGGATCGACACTGGGGATCACCGGGATTACCGGGCTGTGAGCACCGGGACACCAGGACACCGGGACACCGGGGGATCGACACCGGGACCACCGGGACCCCGGGACACTGGGAGATCACTGGGACACCGGGATCAGCGGGGATTACTGGGGAACGGCCATGAGCACCGGGACACCGGGACACCGGGATCAGCAGGGATTACCGGGCCGTGAGCACCGGGCACAGGGACACCGGGACACCGGGGATCACCGGGACACCGGGGATTACCGGGCTGTGAGCACCGGGACACCGGGACACTGGGGGATCACCGGGGATTACCGGGGAACGGCCGTGAGCACCGGGACACCGGGACACCGGGGGATCGACACCGGGACACCGGGACACCGTGAGCACCGGGCACCGGGACACCGGGACACCGGGACACCGGGATCAGCGGGACACCGGGACACCGGGGATCACTGGGGGATCACCGGGATCACCGGGCTGTGAGCACCGGGACACCGGGACATCACCGGGGGATCGACACCGGGGATCACCGGGACCCCCGGGACACCGGGACACCAGGGATCACCGGGACCACCGGGACACCGGGATCACCGGAACACCGGGACACCGGGCCGTGAGCACCGGGACACCGGGGGATCGACACCGGGACACCGGGGATTACCGGGCTGTGAGCACCGGGACACCGGGACACCGGGATCACCGGGATCACCGGGGATTACCGGGGATTACCGGGGAACGGCCGTGAGCACCGGGACACCAGGACCCCCGGGCCGTGAAACGGGGGGTCACCGGGACACCGGGCCGTGAGCACCGGGACACCGGGATCACCGGGGGATCGACACCGGGGATTACCGGGGAACGGCCGTGAGCACTGGGACACTGGGGGATCACTGGGCTGTGAGCACCGGGCTGTGAGCACCGGGACACCGGGGATTACCGGGGGATCACCGGGGGATCACCGGGACACCGGGCCGTGAGCACCAGGACACCGGGACACCGGGATCAGCGGGGGATCGACACCAGGACACCGGGACACCGGGACACCGGGGGATCACCGGGGAACGGCCGTGAGCACTGGGACCACCGGGACACCGGGACCACCGGGACACCGGGACCACCGGGATCACCGGGACCCCCTGGTTGTGAAACCGGGGGGTCACCGGGACCCCCTGCCCTGTTCCCCCCCGGTATTCCCGGTTCCTCCCGGTATCCCCGGTTCCCCCCGGTATTCCCGGTTCCCCCCGGTATCCCCGGTTCCCCCCCGGTATCCCCGGTATTCCCGGTATCCCCGGTTCCCCCCGCTATTCCCGGTTCCCCCCGGTATCCCCGGGCTGTTCCCGGTATCCCCGTTTCCCCCCGGTATTCCCGGTTCCCCCCCGGTTCCCCTCCGGTATCCCCGTTTCCCCCCGCTATCCCCGTTCCCCCCGGTACCCCCCCGGTATTCCCGGTATCCCCGGTATCCCCGTTTCCCCCCGGTATCCCCGGCTCCCCCCGGTATCCCCGGCTCCCCCCGGTATCCCCGTTTCCCCCCCATTATTCCCGGTCCCCCCCGGTATCCCCGTTTCCCCCCGGTATCCCCGGTTCCCCCCGGTATTCCCGTTTCCCCCCGGTATTCCCATTTCCCCCCGGTATCCCCGGTTCCCCCCGGTATTCCCGGTCCCCCCCGGCTCCCCCCGGTCCCCCCCGGTATTCCCGGTTCCCCCCGGTTCCCCCCGGTACCCCGGGCCGTTCCCGGTCTCACCGTTGAACCGGGCGGCCCGCACCGCTCCCTGCCCGCACTGCAGCGTCCGCACGAGCTGCCGGGGCAGCTCCGCCCGCGCCGGCCGCGGCTGCGGGAACGCCATGGCGGGACCGGCACCGGAACCGGAACCGGGGCGGGAGCGGGGAGGGAACGGGGAGGGAGAGGGGCGGGACCGGGACAGGAGAGGGGCGGGAACGGGGGCGGAACCGGGGCGGGAACGGGGCGGGAACGGGGCGGGAACGGGACCGGAACCGGGGCGGGAACGGGAACGGGGAGGGAGCGGGGCGGGAACGGGGGCGGGACCGGGGCTGGAACCACCGGGCTGACACCGGGGCCAGAACCGGGGCTGACACCATCGGGGGCAGAACCGGGGCCGTCACCGGGGGCAGAACCGGGGCTGACACCGGGGCCGTCACCGGGACTGACACCGGGGCTGATACCGGGGGCAGAACCGGGACCGGCACCACCGGGGGCGGAACCGGGACCGTCACCGGGGGCAGAACCGGGACCGTCACCGGGGGCAGAACCGGGACCGGCACCACCGGGGCTGACACCGGGACCGGCACCACCGGGGGCAGAACCGGGACCGGCTCCACCGGGGGCGGAACCGGGACCGTCACCGGGAGCAGAACCGGGACTGGCACCACCGGGGGCAGAACCGGGGCTGACACCGGGGGCAGAACCGGGGCTGACACCGGGACAGGCACCACCGGGGGCAGAACCGGGACCGTCACCGGGGGCAGAACCGGGACTAGCACCACCGGGGGCGGGACCGGGACCGTCACCGGGGGCCGGGCTCCTTCCGGCGGCGGCGGCGGAAGAGGCGGCGGCGGCGGCGGCGGCGGCGGCGGGGCCATGTCGGACCCGCGGAGACCCGGCAAAGTGACCAGGTGGGACCGGGGCAGAACCGGGGGCAGAGAACAGCGGCAGCCACGGGAGCCCCGGTGTCCTGACCGGGTCCCGGTGGTACCGGCAGGTACAAACCGCCGGTAACCGAGAGCAACCCGGCGCTGGAGGATCCGACCCCCGACTACATGAACCTGCTCGGGATGGTGTTCAGCATGTGCGGGCTGATGCTGAAAGTGCGCACCGGGCACCGGGAGCACCGGGAGCACCGGGAGCACCGGGAGCACCGGGGGGCACCGGGAGCACCGGGAGGGACCGGGAGGGGAAACGGGAGGGAATAGGGAGGGACCGAGAGGCACCGGGAGGGACCGGGGAGGGATGGGGAGGGATGAGGAGGGATGGGGAGGGACCGGGAGAGGAAACGGGAGGAAACGGGAGGCACCGGGAGCACCGGGAGCACCGGGAGCACCGGGAGGCACCGGGAGGGACCGGGAGGGGAAACGGGAGGGAACCGGGGAGGGATGGGGAGGGATGGGGAGGGACCGGGAGGGACCGGGAGGGACCGGGAGGCACCGGGAGGGACCGGGGAGGGATGGGGAGGGACCGGGAGGCACCGGGAGGCACCGGGAGGGACCGAGAGGGGAAACGGGAGAGGAAACGGGAGGCACCGGGAGGGACCGGGGGGGGACCGGGGAAGGATGGGGAGGGATGGGGAGGGCACCGGGAGGCACCGGGAGGGACCGGGAGGCACCGGGAGGGATGGGGAGGGACCGGGAGGCACCGGGAGGCACCGGGAGGGGAAACGGGAGGGACCGGGAGGCACCGGGAGGGATGGGGAGGGGCCGGGAGGGAAACGGGAGGGAAACGGGAGAGGAAACGGGAGAGGAAACGGGAGAGGAAACGGGAGAGGAAACGGGAGAGGAAACGGGAGAGGAAACGGGAGGAAACGGGAGGGAAACGGGAGGGAAACGGGAGAGGAAACGGGAGAGGAAACGGGAGAGGAAACGGGAGAGGAAACGGGAGGGAAACGGGAGGGGAAACGGGAGAGGAAACGGGAGAGAAACGGGAGAGGAAATGGGAGGGAAACGGGAGGGAAACGGGAGAGGAAAAGGGAAACGGGAGGGAAACGGGAGAGGAAACGGGAGGGAAACGGGAGGGAAACGGGAGAGGAAACGGGAGAGGAAACAGGAGAGGAAACGGGAGAGGAAAAGGGAGAGGAAACGGGAGGGGAAACGGGAGAGGAACGGGAGGGAAACGGGAGGGGAAACGGGAGAGGAAAAGGGAAACAGGAGGGGAAACGGGAGGGGAAACGGGAGGGAAACGGGAGGGAAACGGGAGGGGAACGGGAGAGGAACGGGAGGAAACGGGAGGGAAACGGGAGAGGAAACGGGAGAGGAAACGGGAGAGGAAACGGGAGAGGAAATGGGGGAAACGGGAGAGGAAACGGGAGGGAAACGGGAGGAAACGGGAGGGAAACGGGAGAGGAACGGGAGAGGAAACGGGAGAGGAACGGGAGAGGAACGGGAGGGAAACGGGAGGGAAACGGGAGAGGAAACGGGAGAGGAAACGGGAGAGGAAACGGGAGAGGAAACGGGAGGGAAACGGGAGAGGAAACGGGAGGGAAACGGGAGAGGAAAAGGGAGGGAAACGGGAGAGGAAACGGGAGGGAACCGGGAGGCACCGGGAGGGAAACGGGAGGGACCGGGAGGCACCGGGGAGGGATGGGGAGGGACCAGGAGAGGAAACGGGAGGGAAACGGGAGAGGAAACGGGAGGAAACGGGAGGGAAACGGGAGAGGAAACGGGAGGGAAACGGGAGAGGAAACGGGAGGGAAACGGGAGGGACCGGGAGGCACCGGGAGGGAACCGGGAGGGGAAACGGGAGGCACCGGGAGGCACCGGGAGGGGAAAAGGGAGGGAAACGGGAGGGACCGGGAGGCACCGGGAGGGAACGGGGAGGGATGGGGAGGGACCGGGGAGGGAAACGGGAGAGGAAACGGGAGAGGAAACGGGAGGGAAATGGGAGAGGAAACGGGAGGGAAACGGGAGAGGAAACGGGAGAGGAAACGGGAGGGACCAGGAGAGGAAACGGGAGAGGAAACGGGAGGGGAACGGGAAAAAACGGGAGAGGAAACGGGAGGGGAAACGGGAGAGGAAACGGGAGAGGAAACGGGAAAAATCAGGAGGGAAACGGGAGGAAACGGGAGGGAAACGGGAGGGAAACGGGAGAGGAAATGGGGGAAACGGGAGGGAAACGGGGGAGGAAACGGGAGAGGAAACGGGAGGGAAACGGGAGAGAAACGGGAGAGGAAACGGGAGGGAAACGGGAGGGAAACGGGAGAGGAAACGGGAGGGGAACGGGAGGGACCGGGAGGGGAAAAGGGAGGGAAACGGGAGGGAAACGGGAGAGGAAACGGGTTGGACCGGGAGGGGAAACGGGAGGGAAACGGGAGGGAAACGGGAGAGGAAACGGGAGGGAAACGGGAGAGGAAACGGGAGGGAAACGGGAGAGGAAACGGGAGGGAAACGGGAGAGGAAACGGGAGGGAAACGGGAGGGAAACGGGAGAGGAAACGGGAGGGAAACGGGAGGGAAACGGGAGGGAAACGGGAGGGAAACGGGAGGGAAACGGGAGGAAACGGGAGGGGAAAAGGGAGGGGAAACGGGAGGGGAAACGGGAGGGAAACGGGAGGGGAAACGGGAGGGAAACGGGAGGCACCGGGAGGGAAACGGGAGGGAAACGGGAGAGGAACGGGAGGGAAACGGGAGGGAAACGGGAGAGGAAACGGGAGGGAAATGGGAGTCTTAGGGTATTTTGGGGGGTTCTTGGGGGTCTCACGGGGGTCTCGGGGGTCTCTCGGGGGTCTCTTGGGGCCATCCCGGAGGTTTTGGGGCATTTTGGGGGTCTCACGGGGGTCCCGGGGGTCTCCCGGGGGTCTCTTGGGGGTCTGACGGGGGTCTCGGGGCATTTTGGGGGTCTCTCGGGGCATCCCGGGGGTCTCTCGGGGGTCTCATGGGGCCGTCCCGGGGGTCTCAGGGCATTTTTGGGGATTCTTGGGGGTCTCTCGGGGGTCTCTCGGGGGTCTCGGGGCATTCCGGGGGTCTCACGGGGCGGTCCCGGGGGTCTCTTGGGGGTCTCACGGGGCCGTCCCGGAGGTTTTGGGGCATTTTGGGGGGTCTCTCGGGGCGGTCCCGGAGGTTTTGGGGCATTTCGGGGGTCTCTCGGGGGTCTCATGGGGGGTCCTGGGGGTCTCAGAGCATTTCAGGGGATTCTTGGTGGTTTCTCCGGGGTCTCTCAGGGGTCTCAGGGCATTTTGGGGGTCTCACGGGGGTCTGACGGGGGTCCCGGGGGTCTCGGGGCATTTTGGGGGTCTCCTGGGGCCGTCCTGGGGGTCTCGGGGCATTCTGGGGGTCTCTCAGGGGTCTCTCGGGGGTCTCTCGGGGCCGTCCCGGAGGTTTTGGGGCATTTTGGGGGTCTCATGTGGCGGTCCTGGGGGTCTCAGGGCATTCTGGGGGTCTCTCGGGGGTCTGACGGGGGTCCCGGGGGTCTCTCGGGGGTCTCTCGGGGCGGTCCCGGGGGTCTCGGGGCATTCTGGGGGTCTCCCGGGGCGGTCCTGGGGGTCTCATGGGGGTCCCGGGGGTCTCTCGGGGGTCTCATGGGGGGTCTCGGGGCATCCTGGGGGTCTCCTGGGGCGGTCCTGGCGGTCTCGGGGCATTTTGGGGGTCTCACGGGGGGTCCCGGGGCATTTTGGGGGTCTGACGGGGGTCCCGGGGGTCTCGGGGCATTTTTGGGGATCTCTCGGGGGTCTCATGGGTGGTCTCGGGGCATTTTGGGGGTCTCACGGGGGTCCCGGAGGTTTTGGGGCATTTCGGGGGTCTCCCGGGGCAATCCTGGGGGTCTCGGGGCATTTTTGGGGATTCTCGGGGCGTTCCTGGGGGTCTCAGGGCATCCCGGGGGTCTCTCGGGGGTCTCACGGGGCGGTCCCGGGGGTCTCTTGGGGCATTTTTGGGGATTCTTGGGGGTTTCTCGGGGTTCTGTCAGGGGTCTCGGGGCATTTTGGGGGATTCTCGGGGGTCTCATGGGGGTCCCGGGGGTCTCATGGGGGGTCCCGGGGGTCTCTCGGGGGTCTCACGGGGTAGTCCCGGGGGTCTCCGAGCATTTCAGGGGATTCTTGGGGGTCTCTCGGGGGTCTCACGGGGCATTCTGGGGGTCTGACGGGGGTCCCGTGGGTCCCGGGGCATTTTGGGGGTCTCTCGGGGGTCTGACGAGGGTCCCGGGGGTCTCTCGGGGCCGTCCCGGGGGTCTCAGGGCATTCTGGGGGTCTTGGGGCATTTCTGGGGTCTCTTGGGGGTCTCTCGGGGCCATCCCGGAGGTTTTGGGGCATTTTGGGGGTCTCACGGGGCGGTCCCGGGGGTCTCCCGGGGGTCTCTCGGGGGTCTCACGGGGCGGTCCCGGGGGTCTCCCGGGGGTCTCTCGGGGGTCTCACGGGGCGGTCCCGGGGGTCTCGGGGCATTTTTGGGGATTCTCGGGGGTCTCATGGGGCCGTCCCGGAGGTTTTGGGGCATTCCGGGGGTCTGACGGGGGTCTCTTGGGGGTCTCATGGAACGGTCCCGGGGGTCTCGGGGCATTTTGGGGGTCTCCCGGGGCATTTCGGGGGTCTCTCGGGGGTTTCATGGGGGGTCTCGGGGCATTCTGGGGGTCTCTCGGGGGTCTCTCGGGGGTCTCTCGGGGGTCTCGAGGCATTCTGGGGTCCCGGGGGTCTCATGGAGGGTCTCGGGGCGTTTCGGGGGTCTCTCGGGAGTCTCTCAGGGGTCTCAGGGCATTTTGGGGGTCTCACGGGGGTCCCGGGGGTCTCACGGGGGGTCTCGGGGCATTTTGGGGGTCTCACGGGGCAGTCCCGGGGGTCTCTCGGGGGTCTCATGGGGGGGGTCCCGGGGGTCTCGGGGCATTTTGGGGATTCTCGGGGGGTTCTCGGGGGTCTCTCGGGGGTCTCATGGGGGGTCCCGGAGGTCTTGGGGCATTTTGGGGGTCTCACGGGGCGGTCCCGGGGGTCTCGGGGCATCCCGGGGGTCTCTCGGGGGTCTCACGGGGTGTTCCGGAGGTTTTGGGGCATTCCGGGGGTCTCATGGGGGTCTCACGGGGCCGTCCCGGGGGTCTCAGGGCATTCTGGGGGTCTCGGGGCATTTCGGGGGTCTCTCGGGGGGTCTCTCGGGGCATTTTGGGGGTCTCACGGGGGTCCTGGGGCTCTCCCGGGGCAGTCCCGGAGGTTTTGGGGCATTTTTGGGGATTCTCGGGGGTCTCATGGGGGGTCTCAGAGCATTTCAGGGGATTCTTGGGGGTTTCTCGGGGGTCTCTCAGGGGTCTCGGGGCATTTTTGGGGATTCTCGGGGGTCTCTCGGGGGTCTCATGGGGGGTCCCGGGGCATTTTGGGGGTCTCTCAGAGGTCTCCCGGGGCAGTCCCGGGGGTCTCATCGGGGGTCTCGGGGCATTTTGAGGGTCTCACGGGGGGGTCTTGGGGCGCTTCAGGGGATACTCGGGGGGTTCTCTGGGGTCTCATGGGGGGTCCCGGGGGTCTCTCGGGGGTCTGACGGGGGTCCCGGGGGTCCCGGGGCTCTGACGGGGGTCTCCCGGGGGTCTGACGGGGGTCTCTCGGGGGTCTCATTGGGGTCCCGGGGGTCTCACGGGGGGTCTCAGGACATTTTGGGGGTCTCTCGGGGGTCTCTTGGGGGTCTGACGGGGGTCCCGGTGCATTTTGGGGGTCTCTCGGGGGTCCCAGCTGAAGTGGTGCGCCTGGCTCGCCGTGTTCTGCTCCTTCATCAGCTTCGCCAACTCGCGCAGCTCCGAGGACACCAAGCAGATGATGAGCAGCTTCATGTGGGTCTGGGGTCTGGGGCGGGGGTCCCGGGCTGGATTCCGGCCCCGAGACCCCCCAGAACCCCCTCAGAGCCCCCCAAACCTCCCCAAAACCCCCCCAAACCTCCCTCAGAGCCCCCCAAACCCCCTCAGAGCCCCCCAAACCCCCTCAGAGCCCCCCAAATCCCCCCAAACCCCCTCAGAGCCCCCCAAACCCCCCCAGAATCCCCCCCAAACCCCCTCAGAGCCCCCCAAACCCCCTCAGAGCCCCCCAAACCCCCTCAGAGCCCCCCAAACCCCCTCAGAGCCCCCCAAACCCCCCTGAGCCCCCCAAACCCCCTCAGAATCCCCCTCAGAGCCCCCCCAAACCCCCCCAAATCCCCTCAGAGCCCCCCAAACCCCCCCAGAATCCCCCTCAGAGCCCCCCAAATCTCCCCAAAACCCCCCCAAATCTCCCCAAAACCCCCCCAAACCTCCCCAAAACCCCCCCAAATCTCCCCAAAACCCCCCCAAATCTCCCCAAAACCCCCCCAAATCTCCCCAAAACCCCCCCAAACCCCCTCAGAGCCCCCTCAGAGCCCCCCAAATCTCCCCAAAACCCCCCCCAAACCTCCCCAAAAGCCCCCCAAATCCCCCCAAAACCCCCCAGAATCCCCCTCAGAGCCCCCCAAATCTCCCCAAAACCCCCCCAAATCTCCCCAAAACCCCCTCAGAGCCCCCCAAATCTCCCCCAAACCTCCCCAAAACCCCCCCCAGAATCCCCCCCAAACCCCCCCTGAGCCCCCCATGTCTCTGCCCCCCCAGGCTCTCCATCTCGGCCGTGGTCATGTCGTACCTGCAGAACCCCCAGCCCATGTCCCCCCCCTGGTGACGCCGATTTTGGGGCGATTTTGGGGCGATTTTGGGGAGATTTTGGGGAGATTTTGGGGCGATTTTGGGGAGATTTTGGGGAGGGGTCTCCGTGGTGGTGGTGGTGGGTTTGGGGGGGCAATAAACCCCCCCCAGTGATGGGGGTAATAAAATGTGGGGAGGGGTCCCGGCGGTGTGTTTGTACCTGAAGGGGGCACGGGGAGACCCCCGGGAGGGGGAAAAGTGGGGAGGGGGATTCTGGGGGGCTCTGAGGGGGTTTGGGGGGCTCTGAGGGGGCTCTGAGGGGGCACTGAGGGGGTTTGGGGGGCTCTGAGGGGGTTTGGGGGGGTTTTGGGGAGATTTGGGGGGTTCTGAGGGGGTTTGGGGGCTCTGAGGGGGTTTGGGGGCTCTGAGGGGGTTTGGGGGGCTCTGAGGGGGTTTGGGGGGCTCTGGGGGGGTTTGGGGGGGTTTGGGGGGCTCTGAGGGGGTTTGGGGGGCTCTGAGGGGGATTTTGGGGGGGTTTGGGGGGCTCTGAGGGGGTTTGGGGGGGTTTGGGGGGCTCTGGGGGGGTTTGGGGGGCTCTGAGGGGGTTTGGGGGGCTCTGAGGGGGCTCTGAGGGGGCTCTGAGGGGGTTTGGGGGGCTCTGAGGGGGTTTGGGGGGCTCTGAGGGGGTTTGGGGGGCTCTGAGGGGGTTTGGGGGGCTCTGAGGGGGTTTGGGGGCTCTGAGGGGCTTTGGGGGGCTCTGAGGGGGTTTGGGGGGATCTGAGGGGGTTTGGGGGGTTTGGGGGGCTCTGAGGGGGTTTGGGGGCTCTGAGGGGGTTTGGGGGCTCTGAGGGGGTTTGGGGGCTCTGAGGGGGTTTGAGGGGCTCTGGGGGGGTTTGGGGGGCTCTGAGGGGGTTTGGGGGGGATTCTGGGGGGGTTTGGGGGGCTCTGAGGGGGTTTGGGGGGCTCTGAGGGGGTTTGGGGGGCTCTGAGGGGGTTTGGGGCCTCTGAGGGGGTTTGGGGGCTCTGAGGGGGCTCTGAGGGGGTTTGGGGGGCTCTGAGGGGGCTCTGGGGGGGTTTGGGGGGCTCTGAGGGGGTTTAGGGGGAAATTCCCATTCCCACATTCCCATTCCGAAATTCCCATTCCGAAATTCCCATTCCCACATTCCCAGTCCCACATTCCCATTCCCAAATTCCCATTCCCAAATTCCCATTCCCATTCCCACATTCCCAGTCCCACATTCCCAGTTCCCGTCATTCCCAATTAAACCCCTAATTAACCCTTTCCGGGCCTTTTCCCGGTGCTGCCCGGGAGTTCAGACACAACTTCCCAAAATTCTTCCTCCCCTGCCAATTCCCGGGATCCGTGCCCATTCCCAATTTTCCGTGGGATCCGTGCCCATTCCCGGGATCCGTGCCAATTCCCGGGATCCGTGCCCATTCCCGGGATCCGTGCCCATTCCCGGGATCGGTGCCCATTCCCAATTTCCAGTCGGATCCGTGCCCATTCCCGGGATCCGTGCCCATTCCCAATTTCCCGTGGGATCCGTGCCCATTCCCAATTTCCCGTGGGATCCGTGCCCATTCCCAATTTCCCGTGGGATCCGTGCCCATTCCCAATTCCCGGGATCCGTGCCAATTCCCGGGATCCGTGCCAATTCCCGGGATCCGTGCCCATTCCCAATTTCCCGTCGGATCCGTGCCAATTCCCGGGATCCGTGCCCATTCCCAATTCCCGGGATCCATGCCCATTCCCGGGATCCGTGCCCATTCCCAATTTCCCGTGGGATCCGTGCCCATTCCCAATTTCCCGTGGGATCCGTGCCCATTCCCAATTCCCGGGATCCGTGCCAATTCCCGGGATCCGTGCCCATTCCCGGGATCCGTGCCCATTCCCAATTCCCGGATCCGTGCCCATTCCCAATTTCCCGTGGGATCCGTGCCAATTCCCGGGATCCGTGCCCGTTCCTGGAATTATCCCAAACCTTCAGGACTATCCCAAATTTTCCATCCCCTCTGGATCTCCGTCCCTTCTCTCTTTCCCTCTTTTCCATCCTTTTTTCCCCCCCTTTTCCATCCTTTTTCCCCCTTTTCCATCCTTTTTCCCCTTTTCCATCCTTTTTCCCACCCTTTTCCATCAATTTTCCCCATTTTCCAGCAATTTTTCCCCCCTTTTCCATCCATTTTTCCCCCCCTTTTCCATCCTTTTTTCCCACCCTTTCCATCAATTTTCCCTCTTTTCCATCCTTTTTTCCCTCTTTTCCATCCTTTTTTCCCACCCTTTTCCATCCTTTTTTTCCCCTTTTCCATCAATTTTCCCATTTTCCATCCTTTTTTCCCCTTTTCCATCCTTTTTTCCCCTTTTCCATCCTTTTTTCCCACCCTTTTCCATCAATTTTCCCCCTTTTCCATCCATTTTTCCCCCCTTTTTCTTCCTTCCCCCCCTTTCCCTATTTTCCATCAATTTTCCCCATTTTCCATCAATTTTCCCCCCTTTTCCCCCTTTTCCATCCATTTTTCCCCCTTTTCCATCCTTTTTTCCCCTTTTCCATCCATTTTTCCCCCCTTTTCCATCAATTTTCCCCCTTTTCCATCCTTTTTTCCCCTTTTCCATCCTTTTTTTCCCTTTTCCATCCATTTTTCCTCCCTTTCCATCAATTTTCCCCCTTTTCCATTTTTCCCCCCTTTTCCATCCTTTTTCCCCGTTTTCCCTCTTTTCCATCAATTTTCCCCATTTTCCATCCTTTTTTCCCCTTTTCCATCCTTTTTTCCCCTTTTCCATCAATTTTCCCCCGTTTCCATCCTTCCCCCCCTTTTCCGTCCTTTTTCCCCGTTTTCCCTCTTTTCCATCCATTTTTCCCCCCTTTTTATTCCTTCCCCCCCTTTCCCTATTTTCCATCAATTTTCCCCATTTTCCATCAATTTTCCCCATTTTCCATCAATTTTCCCTATTTTCCATCAATTTTCCCCATTTTCCATCAATTTTCCCTATTTTCCATCAATTTTCCGCATTTTCCATCAATTTTCCCTATTTTCCATCAATTTTCCCCCTTTTCCATCCATTTTTCCCTCTTTTCCATCCTTTTTTCCCACCCTTTTCCATCCTTTTTTTCCCTTTTCCATCCTTTTTTCCCCTTTTCCATCCTTTTTTCCCCTTTTCCATCAATTTTTCCCCTTTTCCATCCATTTTTCCCCCTTTTTTCTTCCTTCCCCCCCTTTCCCTATTTTCCATCAATTTTCCCCATTTTCCATCAATTTTCCCCATTTTCCATCAATTTTCCCTATTTTCCATCAATTTTCCCCATTTTCCATCAATTTTCCCTATTTTCCATCAATTTTCCCTATTTTCCATCAATTTTCCCCATTTTCCATCAATTTTTCCCCCCTTTTCCCTCCTTTTTTCCCCTTTTCCATCCTTTTTCCCCCCTTTTTTTTGCCTCTTCCTCTTTGGAAAAAAAAAAAAAGGCGGAAAAAGGCAAGAAAATATCCGAGAAATCCTGAGAGAGCGAGAAATTCAAATATTTTAAATTATTTAAAAAATTAATTTTAAACCGGGCAAAAATTATCAACTCCCACCAAATGCCAGAGAGATTTTTTTTTAATTTATTTGCCATTGAAATAAAGATGGAATTTGGCCCCAAAATATCCCCCCCAAAAAAAAATACGGAAAAACCCAAGGCAGAGCAGCTCCATGCGCCGTGAATCCGATGGAATTCCGGAAGAACCAAGGAAAAGGAGGAAAAATTGGGGAGAAAAATCGCAGAATTGGGAAAAAAAATAATATCCAGTGAGCTGGGGGGAAAATGGGGAAATAAAGGGGGGAAAGGGGAAAAAATAGAAAAAAAGAGGGAAAAAATTTAAAAAGGGGGGGAAAAGGCAAAAAAAAGAGGGAGAAAAAAGAGGGAAAAAGATTTAAAAAGAGGGAAAAATATTTAAAAAGAGGAAAAAAAGAGAAAGAGGGAAAAAGGCAAAAAAAGAGGGAAAAATATAAAGAGGGGAAAAAAAGAGGGAAAAAATATTTAAAAAGAGGGAAAAAAGTAAAAAAAGAGTGGAAAAAAGAGGGAAAAAATATTTAAAAACAGGGAAAACAAGAAAAAAAGAGGGAGAAAAAGATAAAAAAGAGGAAAAAAAAGATTTAAAAAGAGGGAAAAAATATAAAAAAAGAGGGAAAAAATTTAAAAAGAGGGGGGAAAAGGCAAAAAAAAGAGGGAGAAAAAAGAGGGAAAAAAGATTTTAAAAGAGGGAAAAATATTTAAAAAGAGGAAAAAAAGAGGGAAAAAAGAGAAAGAGGGAAAAAGGCAAAAAAAGAGGGAAAAATATAAAGAGGGGGAAAAAAGAGGGAAAAAATATTTTAAAAGAGGGGAAAAAGTAAAAAAAGAGTGGAAAAAAGAGGGAAAAATATTTTAAAAGAGGGAAAAAAGTAAAAAAAAGAGGGAAAAAAGAGGGAAAAAATATTTAAAAAGAGGGGAAACAAGAAAAAAAAGAGGGAAAAAAGATAAAAAAGAGGGAAAAAAGATTTAAAAAGAGGGAAAAAATAGAAAAAAAGAGGGAAAAAATTTAAAAAGAGGGGGAAAAAGGCAAAAAAAAAGAGGGAGAAAAAAGAGGGAAAAAAGATTTAAAAAGAGGGAAAAATATTTAAAAAGAGGGAAAAAAGAGGGAAAAAATAGAGGGAAAAAGGCAAAAAAAGAGGGAAAAATATAAAGAGGGGGAAAAAAGAGGGAAAAATATTTAAAAAGAGGGAAAAAAGTAAAAAAAGAGTGGAAAAAAGAGGGAAAAATATTTAAAAAGAGGGGAAACAAGAAAAAAAGAGGGAAAAAAGATAAAAAAGAGGAAAAAAAGATTTAAAAAGAGGGAAAAAATATAAAAAAAGAGGGAAAAAATTTAAAAAGAGGGGGAAAAAGGCAAAAAAAAGAGAGAGAAAAAAGAGGGAAAAAAGATTTAAAAAGAGGGAAAAATATTTAAAAAGAGGAAAAAAAGAGGGAATAAAGAGAAAGAGGGAAAAAGGCAAAAAAAGAGGGAAAAATATAAAGAGGGGGGAAAAGGAGGGAAAAAATATTTAAAAAGAGGGAAAAAAGTAAAAAAAGAGTGGAAAAAAGAGGGAAAAATATTTAAAAAGAGGGGAAACAAGAAAAAAAGAGGGAAAAAAGATAAAAAAGAGGAAAACAAGATTTAAAAAGAGGGAAAAAATATAAAAAAAGAGGGAAAAAAATTAAAAAGGGGGGGGGAAAGGCAAAAAAAAAGAGGGAGAAAAAAAGAGGGAAAAAAGATTTAAAAAGAGGGAAAAAGATTTAAAAAGAGGGAATAAAGAGAAAGAGGGAAAAAGGCAAAAAAAGAGGGAAAAATATAAAGAGGGGGAAAAAAGAGGGAAAAAATATTTAAAAAGAGGGAAAAAAGTAAAAAAAGAGTGGAAAAAAGAGGGAAAAAATATTTAAAAAGAGGGGAAACGAGAAAAAATGAGGGAAAAAGATAAAAAAGAGGAAAAAAATATTTAAAAAGAGGGAAAAAATATAAAAAAAGAGGGAAAAAATTTTAAAAGAGGGGGAAAAAGGGAAAAAAAAGGGGGAAAAAAGAGGGAAAAAATATTTAAAAAGAGGAAAAAAAGTAAAAAAAGTGGAAAAAAGAGGGGAAAAAAGAGAAAGAGGGAAAAAGGCAAAAAAAGAGGGAAAAATATAAAGAGGGGAAAAAAGAGGGAAAAAATATTTAAAAAGAGGGAAAAAAGTAAAAAAAGAGTGGAAAAAAGAGGGAAAAATATTTAAAAAGAGGGAAAAAAGTAAAAAAAGAGGGAAAAAAGATAAAAAAGAGGAAAAAAAAGATTTAAAAAGAGGGAAAAGGGAACATAGGTGCGAAAAAACGGGAATAAAGCAGAATTTGAGTTTGGGACAGGGCGAGAAGTGGGAATTTCGTCCCCGTGTCCCTCCGGAATGGCGCCGATGGCGGAGGGGAAGCGGAAACCGAAAATTCCGGAATTTTCTCTCCCCTCGGCCACATCCAAGAGGGGAAGAGCGGGAACCAAAAATTCGGGAATTTTCTGTCCCCTCGGCCACACCCAAGAGGGAAATTATGGGAAGCGCGGAAACCAAAAATTCGGGAATCGGCGACGTCCAAGAGGGGAAATTGTGGGAAGTGCGGAAACCAAAAATTCCGGAATTTTCTCTCCCTTTGGCCACATCCAAGAGGGGAAGCGTGGGAACCAAAAATTTGGGAATTTTCTGTCCCCTTTGGCCACACCCAAGAGGGGAAGCGCGGGAACTGTGGAAACCAAAAATTCGGGAACCGATGACGTCCAAGAGGGGAAGTGTGGGAAGTGCAGAAACCAAAAATTTGGGAATTTTCTCTCCCCTCGGCCACACCCAAGAGGGGAAGAGTGGGAAGAGCGGAAACCAAAAATTCCGGAATTTTCTCTCCCCTTGGCCACACCCAAGAGGGGAAGCGCGGAAACCAAAAATTTGGGAATTTTCTCCCCGTTTGGCCACATCCAGGAGTGAAATTGTGGGAAGTGCGGAAACCAAAAATTTGGGAATTTTCTCTCCTTTTGGCCACACCCAAGAGGGGAAGAGCGGGAAGCGCGGAAACCAAAAATTCCGGAATTTTCTGTCCCTTTTGGCCACACCCAAGAGGGAAATTGTGGGAAGCGCGGAAACCAAAAATTCGGGAATCGGCGACGTCCAAGAGGGGAAGAGCGGAGACCAAAAATTCGGGAATTTTCTCCCCCTTTGGCCACATCCAGGAGTGAAATTGTGGGAAGTGCGGAAACCAAAAATTTGGGAATTTTCTCTCCCCTTTGGCCACACCCAAGAGGGGAAGAGCGGGAAGTGCAGAAACCAAAAATTTGGGAATTTTCTCTCCCCTTTGGCCACACCCAAGAGGGAAATTGTGGGAACCAAAAATTTGGGAATTTTCTGTCCCTTTTGGCCACACCCAAGAGGGGAAGAGTGGGAAGCGCGGAAACCAAAAATTCGGGAATCGATGACGTCCAAGAGGGGAAGCGCGGGAAGCGCGGAAACCAAAAATTTGGGAATTTTCTGTCCCCTTTGGCCACACCCAAGAGGGGAAGAGTGGGAACTGTGGAAACCAAAAATTCGGGAATTGGCGATGTCCAAGAGGGGAAGCGCGGAAACCAAAAATTCCGGAATTTTCTCTCCCCTTTGGCCACATCCAAGAGGGGAAGAGTGGGAAATGTGGAAACCAAAAATTCGGGAACCGATGATGTCCAAGAGGGGAAACGCGGAAACCAAAAATTCGGGAATTTTCTCTCCCTTTTGGCCACACCCAAGAGGGGAAGAGCGGAAACCAAAAATTCGGGAATCGGCGACGTCCAAGAGGGGAAGAGCGGGAAGCGCGGAAACCAAAAATTTGGGAATTTTCTCTCCCCTTTGGCCACACCCAAGAGGGGAAGAGTGGGAACCAAAAATTTGGGAATTTTCTGTCCCTTTTGGCCACATCCAAGAGGGAAATTGTGGGAAGAGCGGAAACCAAAAATTCGGGAATTTTCTTTCCCCTTTGGCCACACCCAAGAGGGAAAGTGTAGGAACCAAAAATTCGGGAATTTTCTGTCCCTTTGGCCACACCCAAGAGGGAGATTATGGGAAGCGCGGGAACCAAAAATTCGGGAATTTTCTCTCCCCTCGGCCACACCCAAGAGGGAAATTGTGGGAAATGTGGAAACCAAAAATTCGGGAATCGGCGACGTCCAAGAGGGGAAGAGCGGGAAGCGCGGAAACCAAAAATTCCGGAATTTTCTCTCCCTTTGGCCACATCCAAGAGGGGAAGCGCGGAAACCAAAAATTCGGGAATTTTCTCTCCCCTTTGGCCACACCCAAGAGGGGAAGCGTGGGAACCAAAAATTTGGGAATTTTCTCTCCCCTTTGGCCACACCCAAGAGGGGAAGCGTGGGAACCAAAAATTCCGGAATTTTCTGTCCCCTTTGGCCACATTCAAGAGGGAAATTGTGGGAAGTGCTGAAACCAAAAATTCGGGAATTTTCTGTCCCGTTTGGCCACACCCAAGAGGGGAAGGGTGGGAATTGCAGAAACCAAAAATTCGGGAATTTTCTCTCCCTTTGGCCACACCCAAGAGGGGAAGAGCGGAAACCAAAAATTCCGGAATTTTCTCTCCCCTTTGGCCACACCCAAGAGGGAGATTATGGGAAGCGCGGAAACCAAAAATTCGGGAATCAGCGACGTCCAAGAAGGGAAGCGTGGGAAGCGCGGAAACCAAAAATTCAGGAATTTTCTCTCCCTTTGGCCACACCCAAGAGGGGAAGCGTGGGAAGCGCGGAAACCAAAAATTTGGGAATTTTCTCTCCCCTTTGGCCACACCCAAGAGGGGAAGTGCGGAAACCAAAAATTCGGGAATTTTCTCTCCCCTCGGCCACATCCAAGAGTGAAATTGTGGGAACTGTGGAAACCAAAAATTCGGGAATCGGCGACGTCTAAGAGGGGAAGAGCGGGAAGCGCGGGAACCAAAAATTTGGGAATTTTCTCTCCCCTCGGCCACACCCAAAAGGGGAAGAGTGGGAAGCGTGGAAACGAAAAATTTGGGAATTTTCTCATCCCTTGGTAATACCCAAGATGGAAAGCGCGGGAAGCGCGGAAACCAAAAATTCCGGAATTTCCTCTCTGCCACCAGCCATCAGAGCTCCCCGGCCGTGTCGATGAGGTGGAAGAGCGTGACGTTGTAGATGACCTGGTGGCCGTTGTTCCAGGTGTAGAGAACCCTCTCGCGGGGGTTGTAGTCCAGCATGGAAATGTGGGAATACTGATTATGGAACGGGATATCGGTGTACTCGTAGCTGGAAGTGTTCGTGTGATACGCGAAATAAATCTTGGCGCCCGCCAGGTGGGAATTGGTGACGTAGAGAACGCCGCAGATCATGAAGGACTCGCCGGCGCTGCGCTTGGGGTAACCGGTGTCCCAACTCCTCAACACCTCCAAGGTCTGCGGGTCCACGCGGCTCACCACGATGTTGCCGGCGTTTTGGTTGGTGGTGTAGACCACCCAAAGGCCGTTCTCGTCCACCATGAAGTCGATGTCGGAGAAGCCGCCCCAGGAGTAGGGGAAGGTGTTGTTGTAACCGGCGCCGGCGATGGTGCGCTGCACCAAAACGCTGCGAGAGCGGAAGTGGTACCGCACGGCCACGTTGCTCTGGAATTTGTTGTAGTACAAAGAACCGTTGAAGACGACGTGGCCGGTGCCGGCCCAAGGGTGAGGGAGGAGGTGTTGGACGAAGTTTTGGCCGGAGACGAAGTCGCCGAGGCTGCGGAATTCCAGCACGCGGCGGCCTTTGAAGTAGCCGTCCATGTACCAGACCTGGGGAGGGAGAGGGGATGGGGGGAAAAAACGGGGGGAATGGGGGGAAAAAGGGAAAAATGGGGGGAAAAATGGGGGAAATGGGGGTAAAAGGGGAAAAATGGGGGGAAAATGAGGGAAATGGGGGGAAAAATGGGAAAAATGGGGGGAAAAAGAGGAGAAATGGGGGTAAAAATGGGAGAAATGGGGGTAAAAAGGGGAGAAATGGGGGTAAAAAGGGGAAAAATTGGGGTAAAAAGGGGAAAAATGGGGGTAAAAAGGGGGAAAATGGGGGTAAAAAACGGGGAAATGGGGGAAAAAGGGGAAAATGGGGGTAAAAAGGGGAGAAATGGGGGTAAAAAGAGGAGAAATGGGGGGAAAAAGGGGAGAAATGGGGGTAAAAAGGGGAAAATGGGGGTAAAAATGGGAGAAATGGGGGGAAAAATGGGGGAAATGGGGGTAAAAATGGGGGAAATGGGGGGAAAAAGGGGGGAAATGGGGGGAAAAAGGGGAAAAATGGGGGTAAAAAGAGGAGAAATGGGGGTAAAAAGAGGAGAAATGGGGGGAAAGTGGGAGGAAATGGGGTTAAAATGGAGGGAATGGGGTTAAAATTGGAGGATTAAGGGTTAAAATTGGAGGATAAAGGGTTAAAATTGGAGGAAATGGGGTTAAAGTGGAGGAAATGGGGTTAAAGTGGAGGAAATGGGGTTAAAATGGGTGGAAATGGGGTTGAAATGGAGAAAACAGGGTTAAAATGGAGGAAATGGGGTTAAAATGGAGGAAATGGGGTTAAAGTGGAGGAAATGGGGTTAAAATTGGAGGATAAAGGGTAAAAATTGGAGGATAAAGGGTTAAAATTGAAGGAAATGGGGTTAAAGTGGGTGGAAATGGGGTTGAAATGGAGAAAACAGGGTTAAAATGGAGGAAATGGGGTTAAAAGGGAGGGAATGGGGTTAAAATTGGAGGATAAAGGGTTAAAAATGGAGGAAATGGGGTTAAAGTGGAGGAAATGGGGTTAAAATGGGTGGAAATGGGGTTAAAATGGAGGGAATTGGGTTTAAATTGAGGAAATTGGGTTAAAATGGGTGGAAAAGGGGTTTAAATGGAGGAAATGGGGTTAAAATGGAGGAAATGGGGTTAAAATGTAGGAAAGGGGTTTAAAATGGAGGAAATTGGGTTAAAATGGAGGAAATGGGGTTAAAATGTAGGAAAGGGGTTTAAAATGGAGGAAATTGGGTTAAAATTGGAGGATAAAGGGTTAAAATTGGAGGATAAAGGGTTAAAATTGGAGGAAATGGGTTAAAGTGGGTGGAAATGGGGTTAAAATGGAGGAAATGGGGTTGAAATGGAGGAAATGGGGTTAAATTGGCGGAAATGGGGTTAAAATTGGAGGATAAAGGGTTAAAATTGGAGGAAATGGGGTTAAAGTGGAGGAAATGGGGTTAAAATTGTAGGATAAAGGGTTAAAATGGAGGAAATGGGGTTAAAGTGGAGGAAATGGGGTTAAAGTGGGTGGAAATGGGGTTAAAATTGGAGGATAAAGGGTTAAATTGGAGGAAATGGGGTTAAAATGGAGGAAATGAGGTTAAAATTGAAGAAATTGGGTTTAAATGGAGGAAATTGGGTTTAAATGGGAGGAAATGGGGTTAAAATGGAGGAAAGAGGTTTAAAATTGGTGGAAATGGGGTTAAAGTGGAGGAAATGGGGTTAAAATGGAGGAAATGGGGTTAAAATGGAGGAAATGGGGTTAAAATTGGAGGATAAAGGGTTAAATTGGAGGAAATAGGGTTAAAATTGGAGGATAAAGGGTTAAAATGGAGGGAATGGGGTTAAAGTGGAGGAAATTGGGTTAAAATGGAGGAAATGGGGTTAAATGGAGGAAATGGGTTTAAAATTGGTGGAAATGGGGTTCAAACGAGTAGAAATGGGGTTCAAATGGAGGAAATGGATTCTCCCAAATCTTCCTCAAATCCCAAATCCAAGATTTGAGGACCCCCAGAAAATTTTGGGAGAATTCGGGAGGGATTTTCGATTCCATTCCAGGTGCCAAATCCCAAATCCATCATTTGGGGACCCCAAAAATGCCCCAAAACAGATTCCATTCCAGGCGCCAAATCCATCGATTTTCAGCCATCGTCGTCCCAAAATCCTCCCGAATCCCCCAAATTTTTTGGGGAAAATCCCAATTTTTTGGTTTTTTGGGGATCCCTCACCCGGGTGTCGGCGCTGGGCGTCATCGTGTCCGTCATCCAGGAGCCGAAACGCGATCCCGAGGCGCGGACGGTGACGGGGTTGCTGACCCCCGTCAGCTTCCCACAGCCTGGAAAAATCGGGAAAAATCGGGAAAAATCGGGAAAAAATTCCAAAATCCGGGAATTCGGAAAATGGGAATTTGGGGGGAAATCAGGGAATTGGGAAATGGGGCAAAAATGGGGATTAGGAGGAATCGGGGATGGGGAAAAGTGGGGGGGGGAATGGGGATTAAAGGGGAATTGGATTGGGAAAATTGGGAAAAATGGGAATTAGGGGAAATCGGGGATTGGGGAAAATGGGAATTAAAGGGAAATCAGATTTGGAAAATTGGGAAGAATAGGAATTAGGGGGAAATCAGGGATTTGGGGGGAAATGGGAATTAGGGGGAATCGGGGATGTGGAAAATTGGGAAAAATGGGAATTAGGGGGAAAATGGGGGAATTGGGAAAAAATGGGGATTAGGGGGAATTGAAAATTAGGGAAAATCAGAATTAAAGGGTAATCTGATTTAGAAAATTGGGAAAAATGGGAATAAGGGAGAATCGGGGATTTGGAAAATTGGGAAAATGGGAATTAGGGGGAATCAGGGATTTGGAAAATTGGGAAAATGGGAATTAAAGGGAAATCAGATTTGGAAAATTGGGAAGAATAGGAATTAGGGGAAAATCAGGCATTTGGGGGGAAATGGGAATTAGGGGGAATCGGGGATTTGGAAAATTGGGAAAAATGGGAATTAGGGGGAAAATGGGGAAATTGGGGGGAAATGGGGATTAGGGGGAATTGAAAATTAGGGAAAATCAGAATTAAAGGGTAATCTGATTTAGAAAATTGGGAAAAATGGGAATTAGGGAGAATCGGGGAGTTGGAAAATTGGGAAAAATGGGAATTAGGGGAAATCAGGGATTTGGAAAATGGGAATTAGGGGAAAATCAGGGATTTGGAAAATTGGGGGAAATGGGAATTAAAGGGAAATCAGATTTGGAAAATTGGGAAGAATAGGAATTAGGGGAAAATCAGGCATTTGGGGGGAAATGGGAATTAGGGGGAATCGGGGATGTGGAAAATTGGGAAAAATGGGAATTAGGGGGAAAATGGGGAAATTGGGGGGAAATGGGGATTGGGGGGGATTGAAAATTAGGGAAAATCAGAATTAAAGGGTAATCTGATTTAGAAAATTGGGAAAAATGGGAATAAGGGAGAATCGGGGATTTGGAAAATTGGGAAAAATGGGAATTAGGGGGAATCAGGGATTTGGGAAATGGGAATTAGGGGAAAATCAGGGACTTGGAAAATTGGGAGAAAGGGGAATTAGGGGAAATCGGGGATTTGGAAAATTGGGAAAAATGGGAATTAGGGGAAAATCAGGGACTTGGAAAATTGGGAAAAATGGGAATTAGGGGGAATCGGGGATTTGGAAAATTGGGAAAAATGGGAATAAGGGAGAATCGGGGATTTGGAAAATTGGGAAAAATGGGAATAAGGGAGAATTGGGGATGTGGAAAATTGGGAAAAATGGGAATTCAGGGAAATCAGGGATTTGGAAAATTGGGGAAAATGGGAATTAAAGGGAAATCAGATTTGGAAAATTGGGAAGAATAGGAATTAGGGGAAAATCAGGCATTTGGGGGGAAATGGGAATTAGGGGGAATCGGGGATGTGGAAAATTGGGAAAAATGGGAATTAGGGGGAAAATGGGGGAATTGGGAAATTGGGGGGAAATGGGGATTAGGGGGAATTGAAAAATAGGGAAAATCAGAATTAAAGGGTAATCTGATTTAGAAAATTGGGAAAAATGGGAATAAGGGAGAATCGGGGATTTGGAAAATTGGGAAAAATGGGAATTAGGGGGAATCAGGGGTTTGGAAAATTGGGAAGAATAGGAATTAGGGGAAAATCAGGCATTTGGGGGGAAATGGGAATTAGGGGGAATCGGGGATGTGGAAAATTGGGAAAAATGGGAATTAGGGGGAAATCAGGGACTTGGGAAATTGGGGGGAAATGGGGATTAAGGGGAATTGAAAATTAGGGAAAATCAGAATTAATGGGTAATCTGATTTAGAAAATTGGGAAAAATGGGAATAAGGGAGAATCGGGGATTTGGATAATTGGGAAAAATGGGAATTAGGGGGAATCAGGGATTTGGAAAATTGGGGAAAATGGGAATTAGGGGGAATCGGGGATTTGGAAAATTGGGAAAAATGGGAATTAGGGGGAATCGGGGATTTGGAAAATTGGGGGAAATGGGAATTAAAGGGAAATCAGATTTGGAAAATTGGGAAGAATAGGAATTAGGGGGAAATCAGGCATTTGGGGGGAAATGGGAATTAGGGGGAATCGGGGATGTGGAAAATTGGGAAAAATGGGAATTAGGGGGAAAATGGGGGAATTGGGAAATTGGGGGGAAATGGGGATTGGGGGGAATTGAAAATTAGGGAAAATCAGAATTAAAGGTAATCTGATTTAGAAAATTGGGAAAAAATGGGAATAAGGGGGAATCAGGGATTTGGAAAATTGGGAAAAATGGGAATAAGGGAGAATCGGGGATTTGGAAAATTGGGAAAAATGGGAATAAGGGAGAATCGGGGATTTGGAAAATTGGGAAAAATGGGAATTAGGGGAAATCAGGGATTTGGAAAATTGGGAAAAATGGGAATTAGGGGGAAAATGGGGGAATTGGGGGGAAATGGGGATTAGGGGGAATTGAAAATTAGGGAAAATCAGAATTAAAGGGTAATCTGATTTAGAAAATTGGGAAAAATGGGAATTAGGGAGAATCGGGGATTTGGAAAATTGGGAAAAATGGGAATTAGGGGGAATCAGGGATTTGGAAAATGGGAATTAGGGGAAAATCAGGGAGTTGGAAAATTGGGAGAAAGGGGAATTAGGGGGGATTTTTGGGTGGGTTTTGGGGATTTTTGGGTGGGTTTTGGGGGATTTTTGGGGGGATTTCTGGGTGTTTTTTGGGGGAATTTCAGAGACATTTTGAGAAGATTTTGGAGACCATTTTTGGGGCAGATTTTTGCCGTTTTGGGGCAGATTTCCGAGCGGGATTTTGATGATTTCTGGGCCGATTTCCACGGGGTTTTTTTTAGGATTTGAGCCAAAAATTTAATTTTTTTTTGGATTTTTGTACCCAATTTCTGCAGGCAGGCGTGCAGCCGCGCCTCCAGCAGCAGCACCCGCTGCTGCAGCTCCTCGTAGTCGTAGGCTCCCATTTCTTCCTGAATTTCCAAGAGAATTCCCGAAAGATTCCGGACCTCGTCCTTGAGGTGCACGATGAGCCTCGAGTCCGCCTTGTACTGCTCCAGCACCGGCAGCAGCGGCAGCAGCTCCCGCATCTTCTCCTTCAGGTCCTGGGGAAAAAATGGGAAAAATGAATCCCAAAAATCCCAGAAAATCGGGAAAAGTCAGCCCCAAAATCCCAGGATTTGCGTTAAATCCTGCAGGGAAAAAATCGGGAAAATCGGTCCAAAAATCCCAGGATTTGCATTAAATCCTGCAGGGAAAAAAATCCAGAAAAATTGGTCACAAAAATCGCAGAAAATCGGGAAAAATCAGCCCCAAAATCCCAGGATTTTCATTAAATCCTGCAGGGAAAAAATCGGGAAAATTGGTCACAAAAATCCCAGAAAATCGGGAAAAATCCGTCCCAAAATCCCAGGATTTGCATTAAATCCTGCAGGGAAAAAAATCGGGAAAAATTAATCTCAAAATTCCAGGATTCATCTTTAGATCCAGAAGGAAAAAGATTGGGAAAAAATCAGTCCCAAAATTCCAGGATCTGCATTAAATCCTGTAGGGAAAAAAAATCCAGAAAAATTGGTCACAAAAATCCCAGAAAATCGGGAAAAATCAGCCCCAAAATCCCAGGATTTTCATTAAATCCTGCAGGGAAAAAATCGGGAAAAATCCGTCTTAAAATCCCAGGATTTGCGTTAAATCCTGCAGGGAAAAAATCCAGAAAAATTGGTCACAAAAATCCCAGAAAATCGGGAAAAATCGGTCCCAAAATTCCGGGATTTGCACAAAATCATGCAGGGAAAAATCAGGAAAAATTGGTCACAAAAATCCCAGAAAATCGGGAAAAATCAGCCCCAAAATCCCAGGATTTGCATTAAATCCTGCAGGGAAAAAATCGGGAAAAAACGGTCCCAAAATCCCAGGATTTGCTTTTTTTGTTCTTTCGGATACTGGGGAAAAATATGGAATAAATCAGGGGAAAATATGGAATAAATGAGGGGAAATATGGAATAATTCAGGGGGAAATATGGAATAAATGAGGGGAAAATATGGAATAAATGAGGGGAAAATATGGAATAAATGAGGGGAAATATGGAATAAATGAGGGGAAAATATGGAATTAATGAGAGAAAAATATGGAATAAATCAAGGGGAAATATGGAATAAATGAGAGGAAAATATGGAATTAATGAGAGGAAAATATGGAATAAATGAGGGGAAAATATGGAATAAATGAGGGGAAAATATGGAATTAATGAGAGGAAAATATGGAATAAATGAGGGGAAAATATGGAATAAATGAGAGGAAAATATGGAATAAATGAGGGGAAAATATGGAATAAATGAGGGAAAATATGAAATAAATGAGGTGAAAAGATGGAATTAATGAGAGGAAAATATGAAATAAATGAGGGGAAAATATGAAATAAATGAGGCGAAAATATGGAATAAATGAGGGGAAAATATGGAATAAATGAGAGGAAAATATGAAATAAATCAGGGGAAAATATGGAATAATTCAGGGGGAAATATGGAATAAATCAGGGGAAAATATGGAATAAATGAGAGGAAAATATGGAATAAATGAGGGGAAAATATGGAATAAATGAGAGGAAAATATGAAATAAATGAGGGGAAAATATGGAATAAATGAGAGGAAAATATGGAATAAATGAGGGGAAAATATGGAATTAATGAGGGGAAATATGGAATAAATGAGGGGAAAATATGGAATTAATGAGAGAAAAATATGGAATAAATTGGGGGGAAATATGGAATTAATGAGAGGAAAATATGGAATAAATGAGGGGAAAATATGGAATAAATGAGGGGAAAATATGGAATAAATGAGGGGAAATATGGAATAAATGAGAGGAAAATATGGAATAAATGAGGGGAAAATATATAATTAATGAGAGGAAATATGGAATAAATGAGGGGAAAATATGGAATTAATGAGAGAAGAATATGGAAGAAATCAAGGGGAAATATGGAATAAATCAGGGGGAAATATGGAATTAATGAGGGGAAAATATGGAATTAATGAGAGGAAAATATGAAATAAATGAGGGGAAAATATGGAATAAATGAGAGGAAAATATGGAATTAATGAGAGAAAAATATGAAATAATTCAGGGGGAAATACGGAACATATCAGGAGGAAATCTGGAACATATCAGGGGAAATATGGAATTAATGAGAGGAAAATCTGGAATAAATGAGAGGAAAATATGAAATAAATGAGAGGAAAATATGGAATAAATGAGGGGAAATATGGAATAAATGAGAGGAAAATATGGAATAAATGAGAGGAAAATATGAAATAAATGAGAGGAAAATATGGAATAAATCAACGGGAAATATGGAATAATTCAGGGGGAAATATGGAATAATTCAGGGGGAAATATGGAATTAATGAGGGGAAAATATGGAATAAATGAGGGGAAAATATGAAATAAATGAGGGGAAAATATGGAATTAATGAGGGGAAATATGGAATAAATGAGGGGAAAATATGGAATAAATGAGGGGAAAATATGGAATAAATGAGGGGAAAATATGGAATAAATGAGGGGAAAATATGGAATAATTCAGGGGGAAATATGGAATAATTCAGGGGGAAATATGGAATAAATGAGGGGAAAATATGGAATAAATTGGGGGAAAATATGGAATAAATGAGGGGAAAATATGGAATTAATGAGAGGAAAATATGGAATAATTCAGGGGGAAATATGGAATAAATTGGGGGAAAATATGGAAATAAATGAGGGGAAAATATGGAATAAATGAGGGGAAAATATGGAATAAATGAGGGGAAAATATGGAATTAATGAGAGGAAAATATGGAATTAATGAGAGGAAAATATGAAATAAATGAGGGGAAATATGGAATAAATCGGGGGAAAATATGGAATAAATCAGGGGAAAATATGAAATAAATGAGGGGAAAATATGAAATTAATGAGAGAAAAATATGGAATAATTCAGGGGGAAATATGGAATAAATCAGGGGAAAATATGGAATTAATGAGAGGAAAATATGAAATAAATGAGGGGAAATATGGAATAAATGAGGGGAAAATATGGAATTAATGAGAGGAAAATATGGAATAAATGAGAGGAAAATATGGAATAAATGAGGGGGAAATATGGAATAAATGAGGGGAAATATGGAATAAATGAGGGGGAAATATGGAATTAATGAGAGGAAAATATGAAATAAATGAGGGGAAAATATGGAATAAATTGGGGGAAAATATGGAATAAATGAGGGGAAATATGGAATTAATGAGGGGAAATATGGAATAAATTGGGGGAAAATATGGAATTAATGAGGGGGAAATCTGGAATTAATGAGAGGAAAATATGGAATAAATCAAGGGGAAATATGGAATAAATCAGGGGGAAATATGGAATAAATCAACGGAAAATATGGAATAAATGAGGGGAAAATATGGAATTCATGAGAGGAAAATATGGAATAAATGAGGGGAAAATGTGGAATTAATGAGAGAAAAATATGGAATAAATCAAGATGAAATATGGAATAAATCAACGGGAAATATGGAATAATTCAGGGGGAAATATGGAATAAATCATCGGGAAATATGGAATAAATGAGGGAAAAATATGGAATAAATGAGGGGAAAATATGGAATAAATGAGAGGAAAATATGGAATAATTCAGGGGAAATATGGAATTAATGAGGGGAAAATATGGAATAAATGAGAGGAAAATATGGAATAAATGAGGGGAAAATATGGAATTAATGAGAGGAAAATATGAAATAAATGAGGGGAAAATATGGAATAAATGAGGGGAAAATATGGAATTAATGAGAGGAAAATATGGAATAAATTAGGGGAAAATATGGAATAAATGAGAGGAAAATATGGAATAAATGAGGGGAAATATGGAATAAATTGGGGGAAAATATGGAATTAATGAGAGGAAAATATGGAATAAATGAGGGGAAAATATGGAATTAATGAGGGGAAAATATGAAATAAATGAGGGGAAAATATGGAATAAATGAGAGGAAAATATGGAATAAATGAGGGGAAAAGATGGAATAAATGAGAGGAAAATATGAAATAAATGAGAGGAAAATATGAAATAAATGAGAGGAAAATATGGAATAAATGAAGGGAAATATGGAATAAATGAGGGGAAATATGGAATAAATGAGGGGAAAATATGGAATTAATGAGAGGAAAAGATGGAATAAATTAGGGGAAAATATGGAATAAATGATGGGAAAATATGGAATAAATGAGAGGAAAATATGAAATAATTCAGGGGGAAATATGGAATAATTCAGGGGGAAATACGGAACATATCAGGGGAAATATGGAATTAATGAGAGAAAAATATGGAATAAATGAGAGGAAAATATGGAATAAATTGGGGGAAAATATGGAATAAATGAGGGGGAAATATGGAATAAATGAGGGAAAAATTACGGGATAAATCAGGGGGTTAAAGGGATGGAAAGTGGGAATTTTTGGGATGGAAATTGGGGATTTTTGGGATGGAAAGTGGGAATTTTTGGGATGAAAAAATGGGAATTTTCCCACCTGGAAGCTGCGGGCGCTGAGCGCTCGGTGCCCCTCGGAGGCGCCGCGGAGGCGCGAGTCCAGAGCCCGAATCTGCGCCTCGGTGTTCCGCACGTACTGCAGGTCCCGGAACGTGCGCAGATCCAGCACCTCCATGGACTGGGAGATGTTCTGCACCTGGGGGGTTAATTAATGGGTTAATTAGGGTAATTAGCAGGGGTAATAATGGTCATTAACGGGGGTAATCGCGGGAGTTCATCAGCGCCTCGGTGTTCCGCACGTACTGCAGGTCCCGGAACGTGCGCAGATCCAGCACCTCCATGGACTGGGAGATGTTCTGCACCTGGGGGTTAATTAATGGGTTAATTGGGGTAATTAATGGGGGTAATCGTGGTCATTAATGGGGTAATCGTGGTCATTAATGGGGTAATCGCGGGAGTTCATCAGCGCCACGTACTGCAGGTCCCGGAACGTGCGCAGATCCAGCACCTCCATGGACTGGGAGATGTTCTGCACCTGGGGGGTTAATTAATGGGTTAATTAGGGTAATTAACGGGGTTAATTAGGGTAATTAATGGGGTAATCGTGGTCATTAATGGGGTAATCGCGGGAGTTCATCAGCATCACGTACTTCAGGTCCCGGAACGTGCGCAGATCTAGAACTTCCATGGACTGGGAGATGTTCTGCACCTGGGGGGTTAATTAATGGCTTAATTAGGGTAATTAATGGGTTAATCATGGTCATTAATGGGTTAATTAGGGTAATTAACGGGGTTAATCATGGTCATTATTGGGGTAATCGCGGGAGTGCATCAGCGCCACGTACTGCAGGTCCCGGAACGTGCGCAGATCCAGCACCTCCATGGACTGGGAGATGTTCTGCACCTGGGGGGTTAATTAATGGGTTCATTAGGGTAATTAATGAGGTTAATCATGGTAATTAACGGGGGTAATCGCGGGAGTGCAGCAGCGCCTCGGTGTTCCGCACGTACTGCAGGTCCCGGAACGTGCGCAGATCCAGCACCTCCATGGACTGGGAGATGTTCTGCACCTGGGGGGTTAATTAATGGCTTAATTAGGGTAATTAACGGGGTTAATCATGGTCATTAATGGGGGAAATCATGGTCATTAATGGGGTAATCACGGGAGTTCATCAGTGCCACGTACTGCAGGTCCCGGAACGTGCGCAGATCCAGCACCTCCATGGACTGGGAGATGTTCTGCACCTGGGGGGTTAATTAATGGCTTAATTAGGGTAATTAATGGGGTTAATCATGGTCATTAATGGGGTAATCGCGGGAGTTCATCAGCGCCTCGGTGTTCCGCACGTACTGCAGGTCCCGGAACGTGCGCAGATCCAGCACCTCCATGGACTGGGAGATGTTCTGCACCTGGGGGGTTAATTAATGGGTTAATTGGGGTAATTAATGGGTTAATTAGGGTAATTAACGGGGTTAATCATGGTCATTAACAGGGGTAATCGCGGGAGTTCATCAGCGCCTCGGTGTTCCGCACGTACTGCAGGTCCCGGAACGTGCGCAGATCCAGCACCTCCATGGACTGGGAGATGTTCTGCACCTGGGGGGTTAATTAATGGGTTAATTAGGGTAATTAGCAGGGTTAATCATGGTCATTAATGGGGTAATCGTGGTCATTAATGGGGTAATCGCGGGAGTTCATCAGCGCCTCGTACTGCAGGTCCCGGAACGTGCGCAGATCTAGAACTTCCATGGACTGGGAGATGTTCTGCACCTGGGGGGTTAATTAATGGCTTAATTAGGGTAATTAATGGGGTTAATCATGGTAATTAACGGGGGTAATCGCGGGAGTGCATCAGCGCCTCGGTGTTCCGCACGTACTGCAGGTCCCGGAACGTGCGCAGATCCAGCACCTCCATGGACTGGGAGATGTTCTGCACCTGGGGGGTTAATTAATGGGTTAATTAGGGTAATTAGCGGGGTTAATCATGGTCATTAATGGGGTTAATAATGGTAATTAATGGGGTAATCGCGGGAGTTCATCAGCGCCATGTACTGAAGGTCCCGGAACGTGCGCAGATCTAGAACTTCCATGGACTGGGAGATGTTCTGCACCTGGGGGTTAATTAATGGGTTAATTAGGGTAATTAACGGGGTTAATCATGGTCATTTATAGGGTAATTGTGATGGTTAATGGGGTTCATCATGGTCATGAATGGAGTGAGTAATGAATATGAATGGGGTTAATAATGGTCATTAACGGGTTAATCATGGTAATTAATGGGGTTAATTATGGTAATTAATGGGTTTAATCATTGATATTAATAGAGTTCATCGTGGTAATTAATGGGGTTAATCATGGTAATTAATGGGGTTCATCATGGCAATTAATGGGGTTAATCCTGGTCATTAATGGGGTTCATCATGGTCATTAATGGGGTTAATAATGGTAATTAATGGGGTTAATAATGGTAATTAATGAGGTTCATCATGGTCAACGAATTAATCCCAAATCCCGGATTTTTTTGGGAATTCCCAACCTTTTCCAGGAGCTGGAATCCCTCAGGAATTTTTGACTCGGGAAATCCCCAAAATCCCAGAAATCCCCCAAAAAATGGAGGAAAAAATGGGGGAATTTCCCAGGGATGGAGGCAAAATTTGGGATTTTGGGGATTTTTGGGGATTTTTGGGGATTTTTGGGATTTTGGGGATTTTTGGGATTTTAGGGATTTTTGGGATTTTTGGGATTTTTGGGGATTTTTGGGATTTTTGGGATTTTGGGGATGTTGGGATTTTTGGGATTTTGGGGATTTTGGGGATTTTGGGGATTTTGGGGATTTTTGGGGATTTTTGGGATTTTTGGGCTGTTGAGGTTTTTGGGATGTTGGGATTTTGGGGATTTTTGGGATTTTGGGATTTTTTGGGATTTTTTGGGATTTTGGGGATTTTTGGGATTTTTGGGGATTTTTGGGATTTTTGGGATGTTGGGATTTTGGGGATTTTTGGGATGTTGAGATTTTGGGGATGTTGAGATTTTGGGGATTTTTGGGATTTTTGGGGATTTTTGGGATTTTTGGGATGTTGAGGTTTTTGGGATTTTGGGGATTTTGGGGATTTTTGGGATTTTGGGGATTTTGGGATTTTGGGATTTTTGGGATTTTGGGGATTTTTGGGATTTTGGGGATTTTGTGGATTTTTGGGATTTTGGGGATTTTCGGGATTTTCGGGATTTTGGAGATTTTTGGGATGTTGGGATTTTGGGGATTTTTGGGATGTTGAGGTTTTTGGGATTTTTGGGATTTTTGGGATTTTTGGATTTTGGGGATTTTGGGGATTTTTGGGATGTTGAGATTTTGGGGATTTTGGAGATTTTTGGGATTTTTGGGATTTTGGGGATTTTGGGGATTTTGGGGATTTTTGGGATGTTGGGATTTTTGGGATGTTGAGGTTTTGGAGATTTTGGGGATTTTGGGGATTTTGGGGATTTTTGGGATGTTGGGATTTTTGGGATTTTTGGGGATTTTTGGGATTTTGGGGATTTTTGGGATTTTTGGGATTTTGGGGATTTTGGGGATTTTGGGGATTTTGGGGATTTTTGGGATTTTTGGGATTTTGGGGATTTTTGGGATTTTGGGGATTTTTGGGGATTTTGGGGATTTTGGGGATTTTTGGGATTTTGGGGATTTTGGGGATTTTGGGGATTTTTGGAATTTTTGGGGATTTTGGGGATTTTTGGGATGTTGAGATTTTTGGGATTTTGGGGATTTTGGGGATTTTGGGGATTTTGGGGATTTTTGGGATGTTGGGATTTTTGGGATTTTTGGGATTTTTGGGATTTTTGGATTTTTGGGATTTTGGGGATTTTTGGGATGTTGGGATTTTGGGGATTTTTGGGATGTTGGGATTTTGGGGATTTTGGGGATTTTTGGGATGTTGAGATTTTGGGGATTTTGGGATTTTGGGGATTTTGGGGATTTTGGGGATTTTTGGGATTTTGGGATTTTGGGGATTTTGGGGATTTTTGGGATATTGAGGTTCTGGGGATTTTGGGGATTTTTGGGATTTTGGGGGATTTTTGGGATTTTGGGGATTTTGGGGATTTTTGGGATTTTGGGGATTTTTGGGATGTTGGGATTTTGGGGATTTTGGGGATTTTGGGGATTTTTGGGATGTTGGGATTTTGGGGATTTTTGGGATTTTTGGGGATTTTTGGGATGTTGGGATTTTTGGGATTTTTGGGGATTTTTGGGATTTTTGGGATTTTTGGGATTTTGGGGATTTTGGGGATTTTTGGGATGTTGGGATTTTGGGGATTTTTGGGATTTTTGGGGATTTTTGGGATGTTGGGATTTTTGGGGATTTTTGGGATTTTTGGGATTTTTGGGATTTTGGGGATTTTTGGGATGTTGGGATTTTGGGGGATTTTTTGGATGTTGGGATTTTTGGGATTTTGGGATTTTGGGGATTTTGGGGATTTTGGGGATTTTCACCCCAATCCCGACCCAATTAACCCTTTCACTGCCGACACAAACCCCACATTAATTAACGCGCTCCCACCGATGAATTAATTAATCCCAAATCCCGGATTTTTTTGGGAATTCCCAACCTTTTCCAGGAGCTGGAATCCCTCAGGAATTTTTGACTCGGGAAATCCCCAAAATCCCAGAAATCCCCCAAAAAATGGAGGAAAAAAAGGGGGAATTTCCCAGGGATGGAGGCAAAATTTGGGATTTTGGGGATTTTTGGGATTTTTGGGGATTTTTGGGATTTTGGGGATTTTGGGGATTTTTGGGATGTCGGGATTTTGGGATTTTGGGGATTTTTGGGATTCTCATCCTTGGAATCTCACAGGGATTTTCACCCCAATCCCGACCCAATTAACCCTTTCACTGCCGACACAAACCCCACATTAATTAACGCGCTCCCACCGATGAATTAATTAATCCCAAATCCCGGATTTTTTTGGGAATTCCCAACCTTTTCCAGGAGCTGGAATCCCTCAGGAATTTTTGACTCGGGAAATCCCCAAAATCCCAGAAATCCCCCAAAAAATGGAGGAAAAAATGGGGGAATTTCCCAGGGATGGAGGCAAAATTTGGGATTTTGGGGATTTTTGGGGATTTTGGGGATTTTTGGGATTTTTGGGATGTTGAGGTTTTTGGGATTTTTGGGATTTTTGGGATTTTGGGGGATTTTCGGGATTCTCATCCTTGGAATCTCGCAGGGATTTTCATCCCAATCCTGACCCAATTAACCCTTTCACTGCCGACACAAACCCACTCATACACAAACCCCACATTAATTAACGCGCTCCCACCGATGAATTAATTACAAATCCCGGATTTTTTTGGGAATTCCCACCTTTTCCAGGAGCTGGAATCCCTCAGGAATTTTTGACTTGGGAAATCCCCAAAATCCCAGAAATCCCCCAAAAAATGGAGGAAAAAATGGGGGAATTTCCCAGGGATGGAGGCAAAATTTGGGATTTTGGGGATTTTGGGATTTTTGGATTTTTGGGATTTTTGGGGATTTTGGGGGATTTTTGGGATTTTTGGGATGTTGAGGTTTTTGTGATTTTTGGGATTTTTGGGATTTTTGGGATTTTGGGGATTTTTGGGATGTTGAGATTTTGGGGATTTTGGGGATTTTTGGGATGTTGGGATTTTGGGGATTTTGGGGATTTTTTGGGATTTTTGGGATTTTTGGGATTTTTGGGATGTTGAGGTTTTTGGGATTTTGGGGATTTTGGGGATTTTGGGGATTTTGGGGATTTTTGGGATTTTGGGGATTTTGGGGATTTTTGGGATTTTTGGGGATTTTTGGGATTTTTGGGAGGTTGAGGTTTTTGGGATTTTGGGGATTTTGGGGATTTTTGGGGATTTTTGGGATTTTTGGGATGTTGAGGTTTTTGGGATTTTGGGGATTTTGGGATTTTTGGGATTTTGGAGATTTTTGGGATGTTGAGGTTTTGGGGATTTTGGGGATTTTGGGGATTTTTGGGGATTTTGGGGATTTTTGGGGATTTTGGGGATTTTGGGGATTTTTGGGATGTTGAGGTTTTTGGGATTTTGGGGATTTTGGGGATTTTTGGGATGTTGAGGTTTTTGGGATTTTGGGGGATTTTTGGGATTCTCATCCTTGGAATCTCGCAGGGATTTTCACCCCAATCCCGACCCAATTAACCCTTTCACTGCCGACACAAACCCCACATTAATTAACGCGTTCCCACCGATGAATTAATTAATCACAAATCCCGGATTTTTTTGGGAATTCCCACCTTTTCCAGGAGCTGGAATCCCTCAGGAATTTTTGACTCGGGAAATCCCAAAAATCCCCCCAAAAAAATAGGAAAAAAAGGGGGAATTTCCCAGGGATGGAGCCAAAATTTGGGATTTTGGGGATTTTTGGGGATTTTTGGATTTTTGGGGATTTTTGGGATTTTGGGGATTTTTGGGATTTTGGGGGATTTTTGGGATGTTGGGATTTTGGGGATTTGGGGGATTTTGGGGATTTTCACCCCAATCCCGACCCAATTAACCCTTTCACTGCCGACACAAACCCACTCATACACAAACCCCACATTAATGAACGCGCTCCCACCGATGAATTCATCCCAAATCCCGGATTTTTTTGGGAATTCCCACCTTTTCCAGCAGCTGCCGGAGCTGGAGGCTGCGCAGGTCCCTGGAGCAGGAGCCCTGCACGGGAATCACGGCGGTGCAGAGACATTTTCCATCCGGAGCTTGTGCCGAGGTGAAAACCTGCCAACCCTCATCGGGGCTCTGGAAAAGGGTCTGGAAAAACAAAATTCCCAAAAAAAAACCCGGGATCATCTGGAAATTCCCATTTCCCACAGAATCTCCAGCCCAAAATTCAGTTTATTCCCGTTTTTGTCCCTTTTCACCTTCTTTCCTTCTGTTTCCCTCCTCTTTTTTCTCATTTTTCCTCTTTTTCTCCCCATTTTTCCCCATTTTTCCCTCTTTTCCCCATTTTTCACTCTTTTCCCACCAGTTTTTCCTCTTTTCCCCCATTTCTCCCTCTTTTCCCCCCATTTTTCCTTTTTCCCCCATTTTTCCCTCTTTCCCCCCATTTTTCTCCCATTTTTCCCAATTTTCCCTCTTTTTTTCCTATTTTTCCCCTGTTTCCCGCATTTTTCCTCTTTTCCCCCATTTTTCCCTCTTTCCCCCCATTTTTCTCCCATTTTTCCCAATTTTCCCTCTTTTTCTGCTATTTTTCCTCTTTTCCCCCATTTTTCCTCTTTTCCCCCATTTTTCCTCTTTTCCCCCATTTTTCCCTCTTTCCCCTCATTTTTCTCCCATTTTTCCCAATTTTCCCTCTTTTTTTCCTATTTTTCCTCTGTTTCCCCCCCATTTTTCCTCTTTTCCCCCATTTTTCCTCTTTTCCCCCATTTTTCCTCTTTTCCCCCAATTTTTCCCACTTTTCTCCCCATTTTTCTCCCATTTTTCCCAATTTTCCCACTTTTTCTGCTATTTTTCCTCTGTTTCCCCCATTTTTCCTCTTTCCCCCCATTTTTCCCACTTTTCCCCCCATTTTTCTCCCATTTTCCCAATTTTCCCTCTTTTTCTGCTATTTTTCCTCTTTTCCCCCATTTTTCCCTCTTTCCCCTCATTTCCACCCATTTTTCCCAATTTTCCCTCTTTTTTTCCTATTTTTCCTCTGTTTCCCCATTTTTCCCACTTTTCCCCCATTTTTCTCCCATTTTTCCCAATTTTCCCTCTTTTTCTGCTATTTTTCCTCTTTTCCCCCATTTCTCCCTCTTTTCCCCCATTTTTCCCACTTTCCCCCCATTTTTCTCCCATTTTTCCCAATTTTCCCTCTTTTTCTGCTATTTTTCCTCTTTTCCCCCATTTTTCCTCTTTTCCCCCATTTTCCCTCTTTTTCACCAGCTCTCGACCGGGCTCTGGAAAAAGGGTCTGGAAAAACAAAACCGGGATTCAGGAGCTCAGAATTCCCAAAAAAAACCCGGGATCATCTGGAAATTCCCATAGCCCAGAGAATCTCCAGCCCAAAATTCCGTTTATTCCCATTTTTGTCCCTTTTCACCTTCTTTCCTTCTGTTTCCCTCCTCTTTTTTCATATTTTTCCCTCTTTTTCTCCCCATTTTTCCCTATTTTCCTCCCATTTTCCCAATTTTTCCTCTTTTTCCCCATTTCTCACTCTTTTCCCCCCAGTTTTTCCTCTTTTCCCCCATTTTTTCCTCTTTCCCCCCATTTTTCCCTCTTTCCCCCCATTTTTCTCCCATTTTTCCCAATTTTCCCTCTTTTTCTGCTATTTTTCCTCTTTTCCCCCATTTTTCCCACTTTCCCCCCATTTTTCCCACTTTTCCACTCATTTTTCCGCCATTTTTCCCAATTTTCCCTCTTTTTCTGCTATTTTTCCTCTTTCCCCCCAATTTTCCCTCTTTTCCCCTATTTCTTCCTCTTTTCCCCCATTTTTCCCTCTTTCCCCTCATTTTTCTCCCATTTTTCCCAATTTTCCCTCTTTTTTTCCTATTTTTCCTCTGTTTTCCCCCCCATTTTTCCTGTTTTCCACCCATTTTCCCTCTTTTTCACCAGCTCTCCACCGGGCTCTGGAAAAAGGGTCTGGAAAAACAAAATCGGGATTCAGGAGCTCAGAATTCCCAAAAAAAAAAACCCGGGATCATCTGGAAATTCCCATATCCCAGAGAATCTCCAGCCCAAAATTCACTTTATTCCCATTTTTGTCCCTTTTCACCTTCTTTCCTTCTGTTTCCCTCCTCTTTTTTTCTCATTTTTCCCTCTTTTTCTCCCCATTTTTCCCTATTTTCCTCCCATTTTCCCCATTTTTCCTCTTTTCCCCCATTTTTCCCGCTTTTCCCCATTTTTCCTCTTTTCCCCCATTTCTCCCTCTTTTCCCCCCAGCTTTTCCTCTTTCCCCCTATTTCTCCCTCTTTTCCCCCATTTTTCCCACTTTTCCCCTCATTTTTCTCCCATTTTTCCCAATTTTCCCTCTTTTTCTGCTATTTTTCCTCTTTTCCCCCATTTTTCCCAATTTTCCCTCTTTTTCTGCTATTTTCCCTTTTTTTCTGCTATTTTTCCTCTTTTCCCCCATTTTTCCCTCTTTCCCCTCATTTTTCCCCCCATTTTTCCCAATTTTCCCTCTTTTTCCCCCATTTTTCCTCTTATCCCCCATTTTTCCCACTTTCCCCTCATTTTTCTCCCATTTTTCCCAATTTTCCCTCTTTTTTTCCTATTTTTCCTCTGTTTCCCCCCCAGTTTTTCCTCTCTTCCCCCATTTTTCCTCTTTTCCCCCATTTTTCCCACTTTTCCCCCCATTTTTCTCCCATTTTTCCCAATTTTCCCTCTTTTTCTGCTATTTTTCCTCTTTTCCCCCATTTTTCCCTCTTTCCCCCCATTTTTCTCCCATTTTTCCCAATTTTCCCTCTTTTTCTGCTATTTTTCCTCTTTTCCCCCATTTTTCCCACTTTTCCCCCCATTTTTCTCCCATTTTTCCCAATTTTCCCTCTTTTTCTGCTATTTTTCCTCTTTCCCCCCATTTTTCCTCTTTTCCCCTATTTCTCCCTCTTTTCCCCCATTTTTCCCACTTTTCCCCCATTTTCCCCCATTTTTCTCATTTTTCTCCCATTTTTCCCAATTTTCCCTCTTTTTTTCCTATTTTTCCTGTGTTTCCCCCATTTTTCCTATTTTCCCCCATTTTTCCCTCTTTCTCCCCATTTTTCTCCCATTTTTCCCAATTTTCCCTCTTTTTTTCCCATTTTTCCTCTGTTTCCCCCCCATTTTTCCTCTTTTCCACCATTTTTCCCTCTTTCCCCTCAATTTTCTCCCATTTTTCCCAATTTTCCCTCTTTTTTTCCTATTTTTCCATTGTTTCCCCCCCATTTTTCCTCTTTCCCCCCATTTTTCTCCCATTTTCCCCAATTTTCCCTCTTTTTCTGCTATTTTTCCTCTGTTTCCCCATTTTTCCTCTTTTCCCCCATTTTTCCCTCTTTCCCCTCATTTTTCTCCCATTTTTCCCAATTTCCCCTCTTTTTTTCCTATTTTTTCTCTTTTCCCCCATTTTTCCTCTTTTCCCCCATTTTTCCCACTTTCCCCCCCATTTTTCTCCCATTTTTCCCAATTTTCCCTCTTTTCCCCCATTTTTCCTCTTTTCCCCCATTTTTCCCTCTTTTTACCAATTTCCCCATATTTTTCCCTATTTTCCCTTTTCCCCCATTTTTTCCTCTTTTCCTCCCATTTTCCTGATTTTCGTTCTTTCTCCCCCATTTTCCTTTTTTCCCTCATTTTTCCCTCTTTTTCTCAATTTCCCCTATTTTTCCCTATTTTCCCACTTTTTCTCCCATTTTCCCTGATTTTTCCCATTTTCTCCTCTTTTCCTTCCATTTTCCCTATTTTCCTTCTTTTTCACCCATTTTTCCCTCCTTTTCCTCCATTTCTCCCCCATTTTCCCTCCTTTTTCCCTATTTTTCCCCAATTTTCCCTATTTTTCCCCATTTTTCCCTCTTTTTCCCCATTTTTCCCCCTTTTTCTCCCATTTCCCCCTTTTCCCCCCATTCGCTGGCAGATGACGTCACAACCGTGCTGACGTCACAGGAAAAAATAATCCAAAAAAAAAAAAAAAAAAAAAGGAAAATCCCTCCAGGATTCCCCCAAAAAATTCGGGATAAACTCCCCCCCCAAAAAAAAAAATTGGGAATAAACCTCAGGAATTTCCCCTCATCGCTGCGGCCCCAAAATCGCCGTTTTTTCACCCAAAAAAAAGGGAAAAATTCGAAAATTTAAAAAAAAAAACCGGGAGCAGCCGCAGCCCCTCCCCCACCCTGCGGCGCCGCCGTGAATCCTTAATGAGGGAGCTCATGAATAATTAATGAGGGCGCGCGGAATGAATAATTAATGAGGGGGAGGTGATGAATAATTCATGAGGGCGGCCTGGCCCGGGGGGGAGGCGCTGGGAGGGATTTGGGGGGAAAAATGGGGGAAAAAAGGGGAAAAATGGGTAAAAAATGGGGGGGAAATGGGCAAAAAAATGGGGGAAAAAGGGAAAAAAATGGGGAAAAAAAAAGGGGGGAAATGGAAGGAAAAAAATGGGGAAAAGGGGGGAAAAAGTGGGAAAAATGAGGAAAAAATATGGGGAAAAAAGTGGAAAAAAGGGGGGGAAATGTGGAAAAAAGTGGTGGGAAAGGGGGAAAAAAGGGAATTTTCCAAGGATTCGGGATTTGGGATTTTTTTTGGGAGAAAAAGGGGGAAAAAATGAGAATTTCTCAGGGAATGGAGGCGGGATTTGGGGGGAAAAAAAGGGAATTTTCCCCATGGGATTTGGAATTTTTTGGGGGAAAAAAATGAGAATTTCTCAGGGGTGGAGGCGGGATTTGGGGCGAAAAAAAGGGGAATTTTTTCCTCCCCAAATCCCAATTTTTTTTCTCCCCAAATCCCATTTTTTTCCTCCCCAAATCCCAATTTTTTTTCTCCCCAAATCCCATTTTTTTTCCTCCCCAAATCCCAAATTTTCTCCCCAAATCCCATTTTTTTTCCTCCCCAAATCCCAAATTTTTTCCCCAAATCCCAATTTTTTTTCTCCCCAAATCCCAAATTTTCTCCTTAAATCCCCAGATCCCTTTGGGAAAGTCAGGGAAAAAAATCCGGAAAAAAAAACTTTTTAAAAATCCAATTTTTTTTTTGTTTGTTTTCTGCCCATTCCTGGTTTTTTTATTCCCGGTGATTAATGAGGGACAAGGGTGGTTAATGAGGCGCTAATTAACGTCCGGCAGCCGCTAATTACCCCGCGGCGTTGATTGACAGGTGAGGGGGGAGAGGAAATTTTGGAATATGAGCCCAAAAGGCAAAAAAATATTAAAAAAAAGCCCCCAAAAAACCCTAAAAAACCCCCCAAAAAAAAAAAAAAATAATTAAAATAAATCCCCCCCCCCCAAATTCCAATCGGGAATTTTTGGGATTTATCCAAAATTATCCCAAATTTTCCTCCCATTCCCAAAATTCCCCGGCTCCCAAATTTTAGCTTTTCCCAAGAAAAAAAAAAAAAAAGGAATTTTCACCCCAAAATTCCCAAAATTTCCCCCAAAAATTGAGGGGGAATTCCTGGGGTGACCCCAAAATTTTGGGGGGAGGGGATCCCAAAATTCCCGAAATTTTGGGAAGAGGGGAGAAGAATTGGAGGGGAAATTTTGGGGGGGGGTCCCTAAAATTTGGGGGTTTTGGGAGGAATTTTTGGGGGGGTCCCCTAAAATTTGGGGGTTTTGGGAGGAATTTTGGGGGGGGGGTCCCTAAAATTTGGGGGTTTTGGGAGGAATTTTTGGGGGTGTCCCTAAAATTTGGGGGTTTTGGGAGGAATTTTTGGGGGGGTCCCTAAAATTTGGGGGTTTTGGGAGGAATTTTTGGGGGGGTCCCTAAAATTTGGGGGGTCCCGGGGGGATTTTGGGGGGTCCCGGGGGGATTTTGGGGCTCCCGGGGGGAAATTTGGGGGATCCCGGGGGGATTTTTGGGGGAGGGGGTCCCCAAAATTTGGGGGACGATGCAGGTGGGGGGGGGAGGGCCAAAACCGGGGGGATTTTGGGGGGTCCCGGTGAGGATTTTGGGGGGTCCCGAGGGGATTTTTGGGGGAGGGGGTCCCCAAAATTTGGGGGAGGCCCGGGACGATGCTGGAGGGGGGGGGGGCAAAACCGGGGGGATTTTGGGGGGTCCCGGTGGGAAATTTTGGGGCTCCCGGGGGGAAATTTGGGGGGTCCCGGGAGGGATTTTTGGGGGGGTCCCCAAAATTTGGGGGAGGCCCGGGACGATGTCGGGAGGGGGAAGGGCCAAAACCGGGGGGATTTTGGGGGGTCCCGGGGGGATTTTGGGGGGTCCCGAGGGGATTTTTGGGGGAGGGGGTCCCCAAAATTTGGGGGAGGCCCGGGACGATGCCGGAGGGGGAAGGGCCAAAACCGGGGGGATTTTGGGGGGTCCCGGGGGGATTTTGGGGGGTCCCGGAGGGATTTTGGGGGGTCCCGGAGGGATTTTGGGGGGTCCCGGGGGGATTTTTGGGGGAGGGGGTCCCCAAAATTTGGGGGACGATGCAGGTGGGGGGGGGAGGGCCAAAACCGGGGGGATTTTGGGGGTCCCGGGGGGATTTTTTGGGGGGTCCCGGGGGGAAATTTGGGGGGTCCCGGGAGGGATTTTTGGGGGAGGGGGTCCCCAAAATTTGGGGGAGGCCCGGGACGATGCAGGTGGGGGGGGGGGGCAAAACCGGGGGGATTTTGGGGGGATTTTGGGGGGCTCCCGTGGGGATTTTGGGGGGGTCCCGGTGGGGATTTTGGGGGCTCCCGGTGCACCGGGGATGTACCGGGGGGGGGTTTCAGGCGGCAAAGTTGGGGGGGGGGTCCCCAAAATTTGGGGGATGCCGGGGGGGGGACGGGGGGGCCAAAACCGGGGGGATTTGGGGGGGTCCCGGTGAGGATTTTGGGGCTCCCGGGGGGATTTTGGGGCTCCCGGGGGGAAATTTGGGGGGTCCCGGGGGGATTTTTGGGGGAGGGGGTCCCCAAAATTTGGGGGATACCGGGGCGGACGGGGGGGCACAAACCGGGGGAATTCAGGGGGGGATTTGGGGGGTCCCGGTGGGGATTTTGGGGGGGTCCCGGTGCACCGGTAACCACCGGAGGGGGGGGGGGGGTTTCCCCACCCACCCCTCCCCCATTTCTGCCGCATCTCCTGAGCGCAGCCCCAAAAAAAAACCCAAAAAAACCCCAAAAAAACCCAAAAAACGGGCAAAACCGATCGGTGCCGGTTCGGCCGTTCCCGCCGCCGGTACCGGGGGTGACTCACGATTTTCTCCGAGGTGCCGGCCCGGGACACGGCGGTGCCGTTAAGCCCCACGAGCGACGGGAGCGTTTGGGACATCCAGTTGGTGACCATGGCCATGGTGCTGAGCACGGCCCCGATCTTCAGCAGCGGCACCGTCATCGTCACCGGCACCGGCACCGGCACCGGCAGCGCCCATCACACACCCACCCCCCCCCGGTGACACCGGGAACCGGCAGAGCCCCCCCCCCCCCTCCGCTTCCCGGTTCGCTCTCCTGCCGCCCCTTCCCTTCCCGCCGCGGGGAGAGGCGGAACGGGACCGGGAACGGGACCGGGAGGCGGGGGTGGTACCGGGGATTGGGGGTGGTACCGGGAATCGGTACCGGGAATCGGGGGTGGCACCGGGAGTCGGGGGTGGCACCGGGAATCGGTCCCCGGACCGGTTCTATCGATACCGGGAATCGGGGGTGGCACCGGGGATTGGGGGTGGCACCGGGAATCGGTACCGGGAGTCGAGGGTGGTACCGGGAATCGGGACCGGGAGTCGAGGGTGGTACCGGGAATCGGTACCGGGAGTCAGGGGTGGTACCGGGAATTGGTCCCCGGACCGGTTCTATCGATACCGGGAGTCGGGGGTGGCACCGGGAATCGGGGGTGGCACCGGGAATCGGTACCGGCAGTCGGGGGTGGGACCGGGAATTGGGGGTGGTACCGGGAATCGGTACCGGCAGTCGGGGGTGGGACCGGGAATTGGGGGTGGTACCGGGAATCGGTTCCCGGACCGGTTCTATCGATACCGGGAATCGGGGGTGGTACCGGGAATCGGTACCGGGAATCGGGACCGGGAATTGGGGATGGTACCGGGAATCGGTTCCCGGACCGGTTCTATCGATACCGGGAGTCGGGGGTGGCACCGGGGATTGGGGGTGGCACCGGGAATCGGTACCGGGAGGCGGGGGTGGCACCGGGAATCGGTACCGGGAGGCGGGGGTGGCACCGGGGATTGGGGGTGGCACCGGGAATCGGTACCGGGAGTCGGGGGTGGTACCGGGAATCGGTACCGGGAGTCGGGGGTGGTACCGGAAATCGGTACCGGGAATCGGGACCGGGAGTCGGGGGTGGTACCGGGAATCGGTACCGGGAATCGGTACCGGGAGGCGGGACCGGGAGTCGGGGGTGGCACCGGGAATCGGGACCGGGAGGCGGGGGTGGTACCGGGAACGGGACCGGGAATTGGGGGTGGTACCGGGAACGGGACCGGGAATCGGGGGTGGCACCGGGGATTGGGGGTGGGACCGGGAACGGGACCGGGAGTCGGGGGTGGTACCGGGAGTCGGGACCGGCAGTCGGGGGTGGCACCGGGAATCGGTACCGGGAGTCGGGGGTGGTACCGGGAATCGGTACCGGGAGTCGGGGGTGGTACCGGGAATCGGTACCGGGAGTCGGGGGTGGCACCGGGAGTCGGGACCGGGAGTCGGGGGTGGTACCGAGAATCGGTACCGGGAGTCGGGGGTCGCACCGGGAATTGGTTCCCGGACCGGTTCTATCGATACCGGGAGTCGGGGGTGGCACCGGGAATCGGTACCGGGAATCGGGACCGGGAATTGGGGATGGTACCGGGAATCGGGACCGGGAGTCGGGGGTGGCACCGGGAATCGGTACCGGGAGTCGGGGGTGGCACCGGGAATCGGTTCCCGGACCGGTTCTATGGATACCGGGAATCGGGGGTGGCACCGGGAATCGGTACCGAGAGTCGGGGATGGTACCGGGAATCGGTACCGGGAATCGGGACCGGGAACTGGGGATGGCACCGGGAATCGGTACCGGGAGCGGTTCTGTCAGAGCTCCACGCTGTTAAACCGCGGCACCGGGAACCGGGAATCAGGACCGGGAATCGGTACCGGGAGCGGTTCTATCGGCACCGGGAGCCGGTACCGGGAGCGGTTCTGTCAGAGCTCCACGCTGTTAAACCGCGGCACCGGGAAACGGGCGGGGCGGGGGAGCACCGGGAGCCGGTACCGACCCGATCGGAGCCGCCCCCGCCGTTCTGAAGCGGTACCGGGAGCCCCAAAACTCCTCCGGGGGTGGCACCGGGCCCGGGGGTGTCGGTACCGGTGTCGGTACCGGTACCGGGCCCGGGGGTGTCGGTGTCGGTTCCGGTGCCGGTTCCGGTGCCGGTACCGGGCCCGGGGATGTCGGTACCGGTGTCGGTGCCGGTTCCGGTACCGGGCCCGGGGGTGTCGGTACCGGTGTCGGTGTCGGTTCCGGTGCCGGTACCGGGCCCGGGGATGTCGGTACCGGTGCCGGTTCCGGTGCCGGTTCCGGGCCCGGGGATGTCGGTACCGGTGCCGGTTCCGGTGCCGGTACCGGGCCCGGGGGTGACGTCGCCGCCGGCCCCGAAATGGGGCGGGACCGGCACCGGGGGCGGAACCGGGGCGGGTTCGGGGCGGTAACCCCCGAATATCCCAAATTTTGGGCACCGGAACCTCCCAAAATCCCAAATTTCGGGGACCGGAACCCCCAAAATCCCAAATTTCGGGGACCGGAACCCCCAAAAATCCCAAATTTTGGAGTTTTTTGGGGGATTTTTTTTTGGGAAATTCGGGTGGTTTTCGAGGGAATTTTGGGAGTTTTTGGAGGTTTTTTTGGGAGATTTTTTTGGGGGAAATTTGGGTGGTTTTGGTGGGGAATTTTGGAGGTTTTTTTGGGGGGGATTTTAGGGTTTTGGAGATTATTTTGGGGTTTTTTTGGGGGGAATTTTGGAGGTTTTGGCAGAGCTCCTTCCCCCCCCCCCCCCCGCCCCCCCCGTGTCGCGCTCCCCTCCCCCCACGGCCACACCCAGCGCCGCAATTCCCAAAATTCCCAAAATTCCCAAAATTCCCGTCGCTCCCCCTCCTCCTCCTCCCCCCCCCCCAAAAAAACCCCCAAAAATCCCAAAAAATTCCCCTTAAAAAAATTCCCAAAATTCCCTCCGCTCCTCCTCCCCCCCAAAAAAACCCCCAAAAAATTCCCTAAAAAAATCCCCGAAATTCCCAAAATTCCCGCCGCTCCCCCTCCCCCTCCCCCCTCCAAAAAAAACCCAAAAAAATCCCAAAAAAATTCCCAAAATTCCCGCCCTTACCTGCCTGGCGCGGAGGAGGAAGAAGAGGAAGAGGAGGAAGAGGTTGAGGGGGGGGAAGCTCATCCTGACCGCCCCAAAAAACCCCAAAATCCCCCCAAAAAATCCTCCACGACCCCCCAAAATTAAAAAAAAAATTAAAATTCCCCAACCCCCCCCCCCAAAATCCTCGCCCCCCTCCCCCCCCCCCCCCCTCCGGAGCTTCTGCGCAGCCGCGGAAACGCCCAAAAAAAGAAAAAAATCTCCTAAAAAACCAAAAATTCCCCAAAAGAATAAAAAAAAAATCCCCAAAAATTTAGGGAGGAGTCGCCGAGGGGAGGTGGGGGAAGGGGGAGAGAATTTTGGGGGGATTTTTGGAGATTTTGGGGGATTTTGGGGGGTGGGGCGTGGTCTCGTGGTTCTTATCCCCCTCCCCCTTTTTCCCGCCTCTCCAAATCCCCCAAAATCCGTAAATTCCCCCAAAATCCCCCCAAAACTCCCCCAAATTCTGCTCCACCCCCTGAAATTCCCCTCCCCAAAAACCCCTCGCAAAAAAAAAATCAATTTCCATAAAAAACCCCAAATTCTGTCCGCCAAAAAACCCAAAAACCTCAAATCTCCTGCCCCAAAAACCCCAAATTCCCCAAAATCCCCCAAAATCCTCCAAATTTTGCTCCACCCCCTGAAATTCCCCTCCCCAAAAACCCCCTCACAAAAAAACTCAATTTCCATAAAAAAAACCCAAATTCTGTCCTCCAAAAAACTCAAAAAACCCAAATCTCCTGCCCCAAATTCCCCTAAATTCCCCCAAAATCCCCCAAAACTCCCCCAAATTCTGCTCCACCCCCTGAAATTCCCCTCCCCACAAACCCCCTCACAAAAAAACTCAATTTCCATAAAAAAACCCAAATCCCCCCAAATTTTGTTCTCCAAAAAACCCAAAAACCTCAAATCTCCTGCCCCAAAAACCCCAAATTCCCCTAAAATCCCCCAAAATCCCCCAAATTTTGCTCCACCCCCTGAAATTCCCCTCCCCAAAAACCCCTCACAAAAAAAAAAATCAATTTCCATAAAAAACCCCAAATCCCCCCAAATTCTGTTCCCCAAAAAAACCAAAAACCTCAAATCTCCTGCCCCAAAAACCCCAAATTCCCCTAAATTGCCCAAAAATCCCCCAAAACTCCCCAAAATTTTGCTCCACCCCCTGAAATTCCCCTCCCCAAAAACCCCCTCACAAAAAAAAATCAATTTCCATAAAAAACCCCAAATCCCCCCAAATTCTGTCCTCCAAAAACCCAAATCACCTGTCCCAAAAACCCCAAATTCCCCCAAATTCCCCCAAAACTCCCCCAAATTCTGCTCCACCCCATGAAATTCCCCTCCCCAAAAACCCCTCACAAAAAAAAATCAATTTCCATAAAAAACCCCAAATCCCCCCCAAATTCTGTCCCCCAAAAAACCCAAAACCCTCAAATCTCCTGCCCCAAAAACCCCAAATTCCCCTAAATTCCCCCAAAATCCCTCAAAAACTCCCCCAAATTCTGCTCCACCCCCTGAAATTCCCCTCCCCAAAAACCCCCTCACAAAAAAACTCAATTTCCATAAAAAACCCAAATCCCCCCAAATTCTGTCCCCCAAAAAACCCAAAATCCTCAAATCTCCTGTCCCAAAAACCCCAAATTCCCCCAAAATCCCCCAAAAATCCCCCAAAACTCCCCCAAATTTTGCTCCACCCCCTGAAATTCCCCTCCCCAAAAACCCCCTCACAAAAAAAAAATCAATTTCCATAAAAAACCCCAAATCCCCCCAAATTCTGTCCCCCAAAAAACCCAAAACCCTCAAATCTCCTGCCCCAAAAACCCCAAATTCCCCCAAATTCCCCCAAAATCCCCCAAATTCTGCTCCCATTAATCCCACATTTCCTATTAATAAATCCCTTATTTCCTATTAATTAATTAAATTAAATCCCATAATTCCCATTAATTAAATCCCATATTTCCCATTAATTAAATCAATTCCCTATTAATTAAATCCCAAATTCCCTATTAAATCTCATATTTCCCATTAATTTCCTATTAATAAATCCCTTATTTCCTATTAATTAATTTAATTAAACCCCATAATTCCCATTAATTAAATCCCATATTTCCCATTAATTAAATCAATTCCCTATTAATTAAATCCCATACTCCCCATTAATTAAATCCCATATTTCCCATTAAATAAATCCATTCCCTATTAATTAAATCCCAAATTCCCTATTAAATCTCATATTTCCCATTAATCCCATTAATTTCCTATTAATAAACCCCTTATTTCCTATTAATTAATTAAATTAAATCCCATACTCCCATTAATTAAATCCCATATTTCCCATTAGTTAAATCAATTCCCTATTAATTTAATTCCATACTCCCCATTAATTAAATCCCATATTTCCCATTAAATAAATCCATTCCCTATTAATCAAATCCCAAATTCCCTATTAAATCTCATATTTCCCATTAATCCAATTAATTTCCTATTAATAAATCCCTTATTTCTTATTAATTAATTAAATTAAATCCCATAATTCCTATTAATTAAATCCCATATTTCCCATTAATTAAATCAATTCCCTATTAATTAAATCCCATACTCCCCATTAATTAAATCCCACATTTCCCATTAAATAAATCCATTCCCTACTAATTAAATCCCAAATTCCCTATTAAATCTCATATTTCCCATTAATCCCATTAATTTCCTATTAATAAATCCCTTATTTCCTATTAATTAATTAAATTAAATCCCATAATTCCCATTAATTAAATCCTGTATTTCCCATTAATTAAATCAATTCCCTATTAATTAAATCCCAAATTCCCTATTAAATCTCATATTTCCCATTAATCCCACATTTCCTATTAATAAATCCCTTATTTCCTATTAATTAATTAAATTAAATCCCATAATTCCCATTAATTAAATCCCATATTTCCCATTAATTAAATCAATTCCCTATTAATTAAATCCCATATTTCCCATTAAATAAATCCATTCCCTATTAATTAAATCCCAAATTCCCTATTAAATCTCATATTTCCCATTAATCCCATTAATTTCCTATTAATAAATCCCTTATTTCCTATTAAACAAATCCAATTATTCCTTATTAAACTAATCCAATTATTCCTTATTAAACTAATCCAATTATTCCTTATTAAATCTAATTATTCCTTATTAAATAAATCAAATCATTCCCTATTAAATCCAATTATTCCTTATTAAATAAATCCAATTATTCCCTATTAAACCCAATTATTCCTTATCAAATAAATCCAATTATTCCCTCCTATTAAATCACATTTTCCTTTTAAATAAATCCCAAAATTCCCAATTTTAACCTTTTTTTCCTTCCCTTTAAGCTCCAAATCCCCCTAAAAAAATAAACCAAATAAAACCTCAAACTGGAATTTTTCCCTTTTCCCAATTTATTAAAAAAAAATAATAAAAATTAGAGGAATAAAGACACAAAATTCCCAGAAATTCCACTGGAGGGGGATTTATTTCTGCAGGAAAAAAGCTTTTTTTGGGAATTTTTACACGGATCCAAGCTGGAATTTTGGGCATTTTTCCTTTTTTTCCCACCGAACAGAAGCAAAACCAACAACAGAACCAAAAAATCTTGGAAAAAAAACACCCCAAATCCAACTTTTTTTTTCACCCCAAACTGAAAACCCGGCAAAAAAAACGGAATTCCGGCCATTTTTTCCAAATTTCCTGTGAATTCACCCCAAAAATCCGGTGGTTTTTTACGGGAAGTCCAAGCGGTGGTGGCGGGAAATTCGCGGGATAATCCAGACGGGTGAAAGGACACCTCGTGTTTGTTGTTAATTAATTAATTCATGAATAATTAATTAATTTGTGGATTGAGCGAGGCGGAACTTTCCGGTCGGGAGCGGTTTTTGGGGAGAAAAGAGCGGGAATGAGTTAAATAAACATGCAGGGGTGGGGGAGGGGCTGCGGCTGTGGCGACGTCATCGGTGTCATCGTTGTCTTCATCTTCATCGTCATCGTCATCGGTGTCATCGTTGTCTTCATCATTGTCATCATTGATGTCATCTTCATCTTCATCGTCATCGGTGTCATCGTTGTCTTCATCGTCATTGTCATCATCATTGGTGTCATCTTCATCATCATCATCATCATCGGTGTCATCGTTGTCTTCATCATCATCGTCATCATCATTGGTGTCATCTTCATCATCATCATCGCTGTCATCGTTGTCTTCATCGTCATTGTCATCATCATCGGTGTCATCATCATCATCATCATCGGTGTCATCTTCATCATCATCATCATCATCGTCATCGGTGTCATCGTTGTCTTCATCGTCATTGTCACCATCATCGGTGTCATCTTCATCATCATCATCATCATTGTCATCGGTGTCATTGTCATTGGTGTCATCGTCGTCTTCATCATCTGTTATTGTCATCATCATCGTCATCGTTGTCGTCTTCATCGTCTCTGTCATTGTCATCATCATCATCACTGTCGTCGTCGTTGGCCGTTGCCACGGCTCATCATTGTCATTGTTGTTGGTCATCGTCATTGTCACCATTGTTGGTCATTGTCACCATTGTTGGCCATGGCCATTGTCACCATCGTTGGTCATTGTCATTGTCACCATTGTTGGTCATTGTCACCATCGTTGGCCATGGCCATTGTCACCATCGTTGGTCATTGTCACCATCGTTGGTCATTGTCACCGTCATTGGCCATGGCCATTGTCACCATCGTTGGTCATTGTCATTGTCACCATTGTTGGTCATTGTCACCATCGTTGGCCATGGCCACTGTCACCATCGTTGGTCATTGTCACCATTGTTGGTAATTGTCATTGTCACCATCACTGTCACCACTGTTGATCATTGTCATTGTCCCCATCGTTGGCCATGGCCATTGTCACCATGGTTGGCCATTGTCGCCATCGTTGGCCATGGCCATTGTCACCGTCATTGGCCATGGCCATTGTCACCATCGTTGGCCATGGCCATTGTCACCATCGTTGGCCATTGTCACCATCGTTGGCCATGGCCATTGTCACCATCGTTGGCCATTGTCACCATGGTTGGTCATTGTCACCGTCATTGGCCATGGCCATTGTCCCCATCGTTGGCCATGGCCATTGTCACCATTGTTGGTCATTGTCACCATCGTTGGCCATGGCCATTGTCACCATCGTTGGCCATTGTCCCCGTCATTGGCCATGGCCATTGTCCCCATGGTTGGCCACTGTCACCATCGTTGGTCATTGTCCCCATCGTTGGTCATTGTCCCCATCGTTGGTCATTGTCCCCATTGTTGGCCATGGTCATTGTCACCATCGTTGGTCATTGTCCCCATCGTTGGTCATTGTCCCCATCGTTGGTCATTGTCCCCATCGTTGGTCATTGTCACCATCGTTGGTCATTGTCACCAGTGCTGGCCATGGCCATTGTCACCATCGTTGGTCATTGTCCCCATCGTTGGCCATGGCCATTGTCACCATCGTTGGTCATTGTCCCCATCGTTGGCCATGGCCATTGTCACCATGGTTGGTCATTGTCACCATAATTGGCCATGGCCATTGTCACCATCGTTGGTCATTGTCCCCATCGTTGGCCATGGCCATTGTCACCATGGTTGGTCATTGTCACCGTCATTGGCCATGGCCATTGTCACCATTGTTGGTCATTGTCGCCATCGTTGGCCATGGCCATTGTCACCATGCTTGGCCATGGTCATTGTCACCATCGTTGGTCATTGTCGCCATCATTGGCCGTGGCCATTGTCACCATTGTTGGTCATTGTCACCAGTGTTGGCCATGGCCATTGTCACCATGGTTGGTCATTGTCACCATCGTTGGTCATTGTCACCATCGTTGGTCATTGTCACCATTGTCGGCCATGGTCATTGTCACCATCGTTGGTCATTGTCACCATCGTTGGTCATTGTCCCCATCGTTGGCCATGGCCATTGTCACCATCGTTGCCCATGGCCATTGTCACCATCGTTGGTCATTGTCACCATCATTGTCACCACTGTTGGTCATTGTCATTGTCACCATCGTTGGTCATTGTCACCGTCATTGGCCATGGCCATTGTCACCACTGTTGGTCATTGTCACCATCGTTGGCCATGGCCATTGTCACCATCGTTGGTCATTGTCACCGTCGTTGGCCATTGTCATTGTCACCATCATTAGCCATGGTCACAGTAATTTATCGCCACCATCATTGTCCCCATTGTTTGCCATGGTCACTGTCACCATCGTTGGTAATTGTCATTGTCACCATCACTGTCACCACTGTTGGTCATTGTCATTGTCACCATCGTTGGCCATGGCCATTGTCACCATCGTTGGCCATTGTCACCATCGTTGGTCATTGTCCCCATCGTTGGCCATGGCCATTGTCACCATCGTTGGTCCGTGTCACCGTCATTGGCCATGGCCATTGTCCCCATCGTTGGCCATGGCCATTGTCACCATCGTTGGTCATTGTCATTGTCACCATCGTTGGCCATTGTCACCATTGTTGGCCATGACCATTGTCGCCATCGTTGGTCATTGTCACCATCGTTGGTCATTGTCACCATCGTTGGTCATGGCCATTGTCACCATCGTTGGCCATTGTCACCATCGTTGGCCATTGTCACCATGGTTGGCCATGGCCATTGTCACCATCGTTGGTCATTGTCATTGTCCCCATCGTTGGTCATTGTCATTGTCACCATCGTTGGTCATTGTCCTCATCGTTGGCCATGGCCATTGTCACCATCGTTGGCCATTGTCACCATCGTTGGTCATTGTCCCCATCATTGGCCATGGCCATTGTCACCATCGTTGGTCATTGTCACCATCGTTGGTCATTGTCCCCATCGTTGGTCATTGTCACCATCGTTGGTCATTGTCACCATCGTTGGCCATGGCCATTGTCACCATCGTTGGTCATTGTCACCATCGTTGGTCATTGTCCCCATCGTTGGTCATTGTCACCATCGTTGGCCATTGTCACCATCGTTGGCCATTGTCACCATCGTTGGCCATGGTCACTGTTGTTGTCACCCATCACCGTTGTTGCTCATCGTCATCTCCATCGCTCATCACCGTTGTTGCCATCGTCGCCGCCGGCACCGCCGCGCTCCCAGAGCCGTGACCGCCGGGAGCCGCCTCCGGCCGAAACCGCGAGAATTCCCAAAAACCGGGAATTCCCAAAACCGTGGGAATTCCCCAAAAACCGCGGGAATTCCCCAAAAACCGCGGGAATTCCCCAAAAACCGCGGGAATTCCCCGTTTCCGCTCCCGCCCGGGAGGACGCGCAACAATGGAGGAGTTGTGGGATCTGGAGTTCGTGGTGGGCGGGATTCCCGCGGATTCCATGGATTTCCTGCGGATTTCATGGATTTCCTGCGGATTTCATGGATTTCCCGCGGATTCCGTGGATTTCCTGCGGATTTCATGGATTTCCCGTGGATTCCGTGGATTTCCCGTGGATTCCATGGATTTCCCGTGGATTCCATGGATTTCCCGTGGATTCCCAAGGATTTCCTGTGGATTCCCACAGATTCCGTGGATTTCCCGCGGATTCAATGGATTTCCCGTGGATTCCCAAGGATTTCCCGTGGATTCCCGAGGATTCCCATGAATTCCCGAGGATTTCCATAGATTCCCATCAATTCCTGAGGATTTCCGTGAATTCCCATGAACGCCTGAGGATTTCCATAGACTCCCATCCATTTCCACGGAATTCCACGAATTCCTGCGAATTCCCATGGATTTCTTGAGGATTTCCACGGATTCCTGAGGATTCCCGTGGATTTCCTGTGGATTCCTGAGGATTTCCATGGATTTCCTGAGGTTTTCCAGGGATTCCTGTAAATTCCTGAGAATTTCCATGGATTCCCATAGATTCCGATGGATTTCCTGAGGATTTCCACGGATTCCTGTGGATTTCCTCAGGATTTCTGTGGATTCCATGGATTTCCTGAGGATTCCCATGGATTTCCTGTGGATTCCTGAGGATTTCCATGGATTTCCTGAGGATTTCCAGGGATTCCTGCAAATTCCTGAGAATTTCCATGGATTCCCATAGATTCCGATGGATTTCCTGAGGATTTCCACGGATTCCCGTGGATTTCCTCAGGATTTCTGCGGATTCCATGGATTTCCTGAGGATTTCCACAGATTCCCGTGGATCTCCTGCGGATTCCCGTGGATTTCATGGATTTCCTGAGGATTTCCACAGATTCCCATGGATCTCCTGCGGATTCCCGTGGATTCCTGAGAATTCCCAGAGATCTCCACGGCTGCCCGTGGAGTCAACAGATTCCCATCGATTCCGACGGATTCCCGCGAATTCCCCGCGGATTCCATAGATTCCCGTCGACCTCCGCAGATTCCCGCGGATTCCCAGGGAATTCCCGGGAATTCCCGCCCTCCCAAGGCACTTCACTCCGTGCGGAGGATGATGTGGATCCCGGATTCCGTGAAAACGGGGCCGCTCATCTCGCCGGCCCGCAGCGCGAACGAGGCGTCCTCGAACGGCTTCTGCATCTGCCCTGCAACCCCAAATCCCAAAAAAAAAATTAATAAAAATTAAAAAATTAAATAAAAAAAAAAAAATCGGGATTTGGGGCGTTTCCCGAAAGAAAAATCCGGGATTTCAACGTTGGGGGGGGAGTCAATTCCAGGAGTGTGGATGGAGCACGGTTGGAATTATGGTGGATTTGGGGTTTACTTGGGGGATAAATCCCTTGGAATTGGGGGATTTTGGGAATTTTTTGGGGAAAAAAACCCTGGAATGGCTGATTTTAGGGATAAATCCCCAGGAATTGCTGGATTCTGGGAATTTTTGGGGAAACAAGCCCTGAAATGGTTGATTTTAGGGATAAATTTCCTGGAATTGGATGATTTGGGGACTATTTTTTTTGGGGGGGAAAAAGTCCTGAAATTGGTGAATTTGGGGTTTTTTGGGGGTGAATTCCCTGGAATTGAGGGGGGTTTTTTTTGGGATAAATGTCCTGGAATCCTTGGATTTAGGTCTTTTTTTGGAGAGTAAATCCCCTGGATTTGGGGTTTTTTTGGGATGAATCCTCTGGAACTGATGGATTTGGGGATGTTTTTGGGATGAATCCCCTGGAATTGATGGATTTGGGGATGTTTTTGGGATGAATCCTCTGGAACTGATGGATTTGGGGATGTTTTTGGGATGAATCCCCTGGAATTGATGGATTTGGGGTTTTTTTGGGATGAATCCCCTGGAATTGATGGATTTGGGGGTTTTTTTGGGATGGATCCCCTGGAATTGATGGATTTGGGGTTTTTTTGGGATGAATCCCCTGGAACTGATGGATTTGGGGATGTTTTTGGGATGAATCCCCTGGAATTGGTGGATTTGGGGATGTTTTTGGGATGAATCCCCTGGAATTGATGGATTTGGGGATGTTTTTGGGATGAATCCCCTGGAATTGATGGATTTGGGGTTTTTTTGGGATGAATCCCCTGGAATTGATGGATTTGGGGATGTTTTTGGGATGAATCCCCTGGAATTGATGGATTTGGGGATGTTTTTGGGATGAATCCCCTGGAATTGATGGATTTGAGGTTTTTTTGGGATGAATCCCCTGGAATTGATGGATTTGGGTTTTTTTTGGGATGAATCCCCTGGAATTGATGGATTTGGGGTTTTTTTGGGATGAATCCCCTGGAACTGATGGATTTGGGGATGTTTTTGGGATGAATCCCCTGGAATTGATGGATTTGGGGTTTTTTTGGGATGAATCCCCTGGAATTGATGGATTTGGGGTTTTTTTGGGATGAATCCCCTGGAATTGATGGATTTGGGGATGTTTTTGGGATGAATCCCCTGGAATTGATGGATTTGGGGTTTTTTTGGGATGAATCCCCTGGAACTGATGGATTTGGGGTTTTTTTGGGATGAATCCCCTGGAATTGATGGATTTGGGGTTTTTTTGGGATGAATCCCTCACCTCTCCCGAACGCTCCCAGGTCCCCTCCGGCCTTGGCCGAGCTGCAGTCGCTGAACTGAGAAGCCAAAGATTCAAAATCCTCCTCTCCTGATTTGATCTTCTGGATGTAACCTGGAAAAAAAAAACGGGAAAAACCCCAAATTTAGGGATCAAAACCACTCCCAAAATTCCCTGGGTGCCGCAAATTCCATAGGAAATGAGACAAAGTCCCAAAATATCCTCAAAACTACCCCAAAACCAACATTCCTGTTTTTTTTTTTTTTCCCAAAAAATAGCATCACTCACTCCCACTTTTTTTTCCCCCCCAAATTCACCATTCCCAGTTTTTTTTCCCCAAAATTCTGCCATTTCAGGGAGCTTTTTTTCCCCCCAAAAAAATGGGAAAATTGGCGAAAAGAACCATCCTGGAAAGGAATTTTGCGATGAGTTTTGGGAAATGGCGGAATTTTAGGGCTGAATTCTGGGAAAAGGTGGAATTTGGGGCGGAATCCGGGGAGATCCCAAATCCTTTGGAATTCCTGGGATTCGTTCCCAGAGTTTCTATTTGTCATTGTCCCCCCAGTATCACTCCCAGTTTATCCCAGTATCCCCCCAGTATCCCCCCAGTATCCCCCCAGTATCCCCCCAGTATCACTCCCAGTATCCCCCCAGTATCACTCCCAGTATCTCCCCAGTATCCCCCCAGTATCCCCCCAGTATCACTCCCAGTATCACTCCCAGTATCACTCCCAGTATCACCCCAGTATCTCCCCAGTATCCCCCCAGTATCCCCCCAGTATCACTCCCAGTATCACTCCCAGTATCACCCCAGTATCACTCCCAGTATCACTCCCAGTATCACTCCCAGTATATCCCAGTATCACTCCCAGTATCCCCCCAGTATCCCCCCAGTATCACTCCCAGTATATCCCAGTATCGCTCCCAGTATATCCCAGTATCACTCCCAGTATATCCCAGTATCCCCCCAGTATCACTCCCAGTATCCCCCCAGTATCACTCCCAGTTTATCCCAGTTTATCCCAGTCTATCCCAGTTTGGCTCTGACCGTTGACCAGCTCCAGCGCCTCCTCCTTGGAGCGGGTGATCCGTTCCTGCCTCCAGCTGAGTCTCCCCAGTATCCCCCCAGTATATCCCAGTATCCCCCCAGTATATCCCCAGTATCACTCCCAGTATCACTCCCAGTATCACTCCCAGTATCCCCCCAGTATCACTCCCAGTATCACTCCCAATATATCCCAGTATCCCCCCAGTATCACCCCAGTATCACTCCCAGTTTATCCCAGATTATCCCAGTTTATCCCAGTTTGGCTCTGACCGTTGACCAGCTCCAGCGCCTCCTCCTTGGAGTGGGTGATCCGTTCCTGCCTCCAGCTGAGTCTCCCCAGTATCCCCCCAGTATATCCCAGTATCACTCCCAGTATCCCCCCAGTATCACTCCCAGTTTATCCCAGTATCACTCCCAGTTTATCCCAGTATCACTCCCAGTTTATCCCAGTCTGTCCCAGTTTGGCTCTGACCGTTGACCAGCTCCAGCGCCTCCTCCTTGGAGCGGGTGATCCGTTCCTGCCTCCAGCTGAGTCTCCCCAGTATATCCCAGTATCCCCCCAGTATATCCCAGTATCCCCCCAGTATCACTCCCAGCATCCCCCCAGTATCACTCCCAGTTTATCCCAGTTTATCCCAGTTTGGCTCTGACCGTTGACCAGCTCCAGCGCCTCCTCCTTGGAGCGGGTGATCCGTTCCTGCCTCCAGCTGAGTCTCCCCAGTATATCCCAGTATCCCCCCAGTATATCCCAGTATATCCCAGTATCCCCTAGTATCCCCCCAGTATCACTCCCAGTATCACTCCCAGTTTATCCCAGTATCACTCCCAGTTTATCCCAGTATCACTCCCAGTTTATCCCAGTCTGTCCCAGTTTGGCTCTGACCGTTGACCAGCTCCAGCGCCTCCTCCTTGGAGCGGGTGATCCGTTCCTGCCTCCAGCTGAGTCTCCCCAGTATCCCCCCAGTATATCCCAGTATCACTCCCAGTATATCCCAGTATCAGTCCCAGTATCCCCCCAGTATATCCCAGTATCCCTCCCAGTATATCCCAGTATCACTCCCAGTATCCCCCCAGTATCACTCCCAGTTTATCCCAGTATCACTCCCAGTATATCCCAGTATCACCCCAGTATCCCCCCAGTATCACTCCCAGTATATCCCAGTATCACCCCAGTATCCCCCCAGTATCACTCCCAGTATCACTCCCAGTATCACCCCAATATCACCCCATTATCACTCCCAGTATATCCCAGTATCACTCCCAGTATCACTCCCAGTATCCCCCCAGTATCACTCCCAGTTTATCCCAGTATCACTCCCAGTTTATCCCAGTTTATCCCAGTCTATCCCAGTTTGGCTCTGACCGTTGACCAGCTCCAGCGCCTCCTCCTTGGAGCGGGTGATCCGTTCCTGCCTCCAGCTGAGTCTCCCCAGTATCCCCCCAGTATCCCCCCAGTATATCCCAGTATCACTCCCAGTTTATCCCAGTATCACTCCCAGTATCACTCCCAGTATCACTCCCAGTATCCCCCCAGTATCACTCCCAGTATCCCCCAAGTATCACTCCCAGTATCCCCCCAGTATCACTCCCAGTATATCCCAGTATCATTCCCAGTAACCCCCCAGTATCACCCCAGTATATCCCAGTATATCCCAGTATCACTCCCAGTATCCCCCCAGTATCCCCCCAGTATATCCCAGTATCACTCCCAGTATATCCCAGTATCACTCCCAGTATATCCCAGTATCATTCCCAGTAACCCCCCAGTATCACCCCAGTATCACTCCCAGTATCCCCCCAGTATAACTCCCAGTTTATCCCAGTATCACTCCCAGTATCTCCCCAGTATCACTCCCAGTATATCCCAGTATCATTCCCAGTAACCCCCCAGTATCACCCCAGTATATCCCAGTATCATTCCCAGTAACCCCCCAGTATCACCCCAGTATCACTCCCAGTATCACTCCCAGTATATCCCAGTATCACTCCCAGTATATCCCAGTATCACTCCCAGTTTATCCCAGTATCACTCCCAGTATCACTCCCAGTTTATCCCAGTTTGTCCCAGTTTGGCTCTGACCGTTGACCAGCTCCAGCGCCTCCTCCTTGGAGCGGGTGATCCGTTCCTGCCTCCAGCTGAGTCTCCCCAGTATCCCCCCAGTATATCCCAGTATCCCCCTAGTATCACTCCCAGTATCACTCCCAGTATATCCCAGTATCACTCCCAGTATATCCCAGTATGACTCCCAGTATCCCCCAGTATCCCCCCAGTATCACCCCAGTATCCCCCCAGTATATCCCAGTATCACTCCCAGTATATCCCAGTATCCCCCCAGTATGCCCCCAGTATCCCCCCAGTATCACTCCCAGTATCCCCCCAGTATCCCTCCCAGTATCACTCCCAGTATCTCCCCAGTATCACTCCCAGTATATCCCAGTATCACTCACAGTTTATCCCAGCTTATCCCAGTTTATCCCAGTTTATCCCAGTTTGGCTCTGACCGTTGACCAGCTCCAGCGCCTCCTCCTTGGAGCGGGTGATCCGTTCCTGCCTCCAGCTGAGTCTCCCCAGTATCCCCCCAGTATCCCCCCAGTATATCCCAGTATCCCCCCAGTATATCCCAGTATCACTCCCAGTATCACTCCCAGTATATCCCAGTATCCCCCCAGTATGCCCCCAGTATCACTCCCAGTATCACCCCATTATCACTCCCAGTATCCCCCCAGTATCACTCCCAGTATCCCCCCAGTATATCCCAGTATCACTCCCAGTATCACCCCAGTATATCCCAGTATCACTCCCAGTATATCCCAGTATCACTCCCAGTATCACTCCCAGTTTATCCCAGTCTATCCCAGTTTGGCTCTGACCGTTGACCAGCTCCAGCGCCTCCTCCTTGGAGCGGGTGATCCGTTCCTGCCTCCAGCTGAGTCTCCCCAGTATCCCCCCAGTATCTCCCCAGTATATCCCAGTATCCCCCCAGTATCCCCCCAGTATCACCCCAGTATCCCCCCAGTATCACTCCCAGTTTATCCCAGTATCACTCCCAGTATATCCCAGTATCACTCCCAGTATATCCCAGTATCACTCCCAGTATCCCCCCAGTATCCCTCCCAGTATATCCCAGTATCACTCCCAGTATCCCCCCAGTATCACTCCCAGTATCCCCCCAGTATCACTCCCAGTATATCCCAGTATCACTCCCAGTATCCCCCCAGTATCCCCCCAATATCACTCCCAGTATATCCCAGTATCCCCCCAGTATCACTCCCAGTATCACTCCCAGTATCACTCCCAGTATATCCCAGTATCACTCCCAGTTTATCCCAGTTTGTCCCAGTTTGGCTCTGACCGTTGACCAGCTCCAGCGCCTCCTCCTTGGAGCGGGTGATCCGTTCCTGCCTCCAGCTGAGTCTCCCCAGTATCCCCCAGTATATCCCAGTATCACTCCCAGTTTATCCCAGTATCACTCCCAGTATCACTCCCAGTTTATCCCAGTTTGTCCCAGTTTGGCTCTGACCGTTGACCAGCTCCAGCGCCTCCTCCTTGGAGCGGGTGATCCGCTCCTGCCTCCAGCTGAGTCTCCCCAGTATCCCCCCAGTATCACTCCCAGTATATCCCAGTATCCCCCCCAGTATCACTCCCAGTATCACTCCCAGTTTATCCCAGTCTATCCCAGTTTGGCTCTGACTGTTGACCAGCTCCAGCGCCTCCTCCTTGGAGCAGGTGATCCGTTCCTGCCTCCAGCTGAGTCTCCCCAGTATCCCCCCAGTATATCCCAGTATCACTCCCAGTTTATCCCAGTTTGTCCCAGTTTGGCTCTGACCGTTGACCAGCTCCAGCGCCTCCTCCTTGGAGCGGGTGATCCGTTCCTGCCTCCAGCTGAGTCTCCCCAGTATATCCCAGTATATCCCAGTATCACTCCCAGTATATCCCAGTATCCCCCCAGTATCACTCCCAGTTTATCCCAGTTTGGCTCTGACCGTTGACCAGCTCCAGCGCCTCCTCCTTGGAGCGGGTGATCCGTTCCTGCCTCCAGCTGAGTCTCCCCAGTATCCCCCAGTATATCCCAGTATCACTCCCAGTATCACTCCCAGTATATCCCAGTATCCCCCCAGTATCACTCCCAGTATCCCCCCAGTATCACTCCCAGTATCCCCCCAGTATCACTCCCAGTTTATCCCAGTATCACTCCCAGTATATCCCAGTATCACTCCCAGTATCACTCCCAGTATATCCCAGTATCACTCCCAGTATCACTCCCAGTATATCCCAGTATCACTCCCAGTATCACTCCCAGTATGTCCCAGTTTATCCCAGTCTATCCCAGTTTGGCTCTCACCATTGACCAGCTCCAGCGCCTCCTCCTTGGAGCGGGTGATCCGTTCCTGCCTCCAGCTGAGTCTCCCCAGTATCCCCCAGTATATCCCAGTATCACTCCCAGTATCACTCCCAGTATATCCCAGTATCCCCCCAGTATCACTCCCAGTATATCCCAGTATCACTCCCAGTATCCCCCCAGTATCACTCCCAGTTTATCCCAGTTTGTCCCAGTTTGGCTCTGACCGTTGACCAGCTCCAGCGCCTCCTCCTTGGAGCGGGTGATCCGTTCCTGCCTCCAGCTGAGTCTCCCCAGTATCCCCCCAGTATATCCCAGTATATCCCAGTATATCCCAGTATCATTCCCAGTATATCCCAGTATCACTCCAGTATATCCCAGTATCACTCCCAGTATCCCCCCAGTATCACTCCCAGTTTATCCCAGTTTGTCCCAGTTTGGCTCTGACCGTTGACCAGCTCCAGCGCCTCCTCCTTGGAGCGGGTGATCCGTTCCTGCCTCCAGCTGAGTCTCCCCAGTATATCCCAGTATATCCCAGTATATCCCAGTATCACTCCCAGTACCACTCCCAGTATATCCCAGTATCACTCCCAGTATATCCCAGTATCCCCCCAGTATCACTCCCAGTATATCCCAGTATGACTCCCAGTATATCCCAGTATCACTCCCAGTTTATCCCAGTTTGTCCCAGTTTGGCTCTGACCATTGACCAGCTCCAGCGCCTCCTCCTTGGAGCGGGTGATCCGTTCCTGCCTCCAGCTGAGTCTCCCCAGTATCCCCCCAGTATATCCCAGTATCACTCCCAGTTTATCCCAGTATCACTCCCAGTATCACTCCCAGTTTATCCCAGTTTGTCCCAGTTTGGCTCTCACCATTGACCAGCTCCAGCGCCTCCTCCTTGGAGCGGGTGATCCGTTCCTGCCTCCAGCTCGATGGTCGCCGGGACTGGTTGTGCTTCACCAGGAGGTGGGAGCAGCGCACCCGGCCCGGCTCCGCCCGCCCCGCGCCGCTCGGCCGCTCCCACTGGCTGGCGTTCGTCAGGTGGTTGAAGTAGTACACCCTGCCTGGGGGGTTATTGATCCGTTATTGGTTATTGATTACTGATTGGGTACTGATCAGTATAAAAAAATTGGTTATTGGCACCAAAACTCCCTCACAGGCCCCAATATTGACCCCACTGACTGGTGTTCACCAGGTGGTTGAAGTAGTACACCCTGCCTCGGGGGTTATCGATCCACTATTGGTTATTGATTACTGATTGGTTACCAATCGGTATCAAAAAATTGCTTATTGGCACCAAAACTCCCTTACAGGTCCCAATATTGACCCCACTGGCTGGCGTTCGTCAGGTGGTTGAAGTAGCACACACATCCTGCAGGGTTATTGATGGGTTATCAATCATCATTGGCTGCTTATTGGTTATTGATTGCTGATTGGATTCTGATTTCCAGCGCAAAACCAACCTATTCATCCTATTATTATCAAGTAACAGGCCCCAATACTGACCCCACTCACTGGCGTTCACCAGGTGGTTGAAGTAGTACACCCTGCCTGGGGGGTTATTGATCCCTTATTGGTTATTGATTACTGATTGGGTACTGATCAGTATCAAAAAATTGGTTATTGGCTCCAAAACTCCCTTACAGGTCCCAATATTGACCCCACTGACTGGCCTTCACCAGGTGTTTGAAGTAGTACACCCTGCCTGGGGGGTTATTGATCCGATATTGGTTATTGATTACTGATTGGTTACCAATCGCTATCAAAAAATTGGTTATTGGCACCAAAACTCCCTCACAGGTCCCAATATTGACCCCACTGACTGGCGTTCGTCAGGTGCTTGAAGTAGTACACCCTGCCTGGGGGGTTATTGATCCGTTATTGGTTATTGATTACTGATTGGGTACCGATCAGTATAAAAAAATTGGTTATTGGCTCCAAAACTCCCTTACAGGTCCCAGTATTGACCCCAATGGTTGGCCTTCACCAGGTGGTTGAAGTAGTACACCCTGCCTGGGGGGTTATTGATCCGTTATTGGTTATTGATTACTGATTGGGTACTGATCAGTATCAAAAAATTGGTTATTGGCACCAAAACTCCCTCACAGGCCCCAATATTGACCCCACTGGCTGGTGTTCACCAGGTGGTTGAAGTAGTACACCCTGCCTGGGGGGTTATTGATCCCTTATTGGTTATTGATTACTGATTGGGTACTGATCAGTATCAAAAAATTGGTTTTTGGCACCAAAACCCCCTCAAAGGCCCCAATATTGACCCCACTGACTGGCGTTCGTCAGGTGGTTGAAGTAGTACACCCTGCCTGGGGGTTATTGATCCGTTATTGGTTATTGATTACTGATTGGTTACCAATCGCTATCAAAAAATTGGTTATTGGCTCCAAAACTCCCTTAAAGGTCCCAGTATTGACCCCACTGACTGGCGTTCACCAGGTGGTTGAAGTAGTACACCCTGCCTGGGGAGTTATCGATCCATTATTGGTTATTGATTACTGATTGGTTACCAATCGGTATAAAAAATTTGGTTATTGGCACCAAAACCCCCTCAAAGGCCCCAATATTGACCCCACTGGCTGGCGTTCGTCAGGTGGTTGAAGTAGTACACCCTGCCTGGGGGGTTATCGATCCGTTATTGGTTATTGATTACTGATTGGTTACCAATCGGTATAAAAAAATTGCTTATTGGCACCAAAACTCCCTTACAGGTCCCAATATTGACCCCACTGGCTGGCGTTCGTCAGGTGGTTGAAGTAGTACACCCTGCCTGGGGGGTTATTGATCCGTTATTGGTTATTGATTACTGATTGGTTACCAATCACTATCAAAAACTTGGTTATTGGCACCAAAACTCCCTTACAGGTCCCAATATTGACCCCACTGACTGGTGTTCACCAGGTGGTTGAAGTAGTACACCCTGCCTGGGGGGTTATCGATCCGTTATTGGTTATTGATTACTGATTGGTTACCAATCGCTATCAAAAAATTGGTTATTGGCACCAAAACTCCCTTACAGGTCCCAATATTGACCCCACTGACTGGTGTTCACCAGGTGGTTGAAGTAGTACACCCTGCCTGGGGGGTTATTGATCCCTTATTGGTTATTGATTACTGATTGGTTACCAATCGGTATCAAAAAATTGGTTATTGGCACGAAAACTCCCTTAGAGATCCCAATATTGACCCCACTGGCTGGCCTTCACCAGGTGGTTGAAGTAGTACACGTGTCCTGCAGGGTTATTGATGGGTTATCAATCATTATTGGCTGCTTATTGGTTATTGATTGCTGATTGGATACTGATTTCCAGTGCAAAACCAACCTATTCATCCTATTATTATCAAGTAACAGGCCCCAATATTGACCCCACTGACTGGCGTTCACCAGGTGTTTGAAGTAGTACACCCTGCCTGGGGGGTTATTGATCCGTTATTGGTTATTGGTTACTGATTGGGTACCGATCAGTATCAAAAAATTGGTTATTGGCACCAAAACTCCCTTACAGATCCCAATATTGACCCCACTGGCTGGCGTTCGTCAGGTGGTTGAAGTAGTACACCCTGCCTGGGGGGTTATCGATCCGTTATTGGTTATTGATTACTGATTGGTTACCAATCGGTATCAAAAAATTGGTTATTGGCAGCAAAATTCCCTTACAGGTCCCAGTATTGACCCCACTGGCTGGTGTTCGTCAGGTGTTTGAAGTAGTACACCCTGCCTGGGGGGTTATTGATCCGTTATTGGTTATTGATTACTGATTGGGTACTGATCAGTATCAAAAAATTGGTTATTGGCACCAAAACCCCCTCAAAGGCCCCAATATTGACCCCACTGGCTGGTGTTCACCAGGTGGTTGAAGTAGTACACCCTGCCTGGGGGATTATTGATCCGTTATTGGTTATTGATTACTGATTGGTTACCAATCGTTATCAAAAAATTGGTTATTGGCACCAAAACTCCCTTACAGGTCCCAATATTGACCCCACTGACTGGCGTTCACCAGGTGTTTGAAGTAGTACACCCTGCCTGGGGGGTTATTGATCCGTTATTGGTTATTGGTTACTGATTGGGTACCGATCAGTATCAAAAAATTGGTTATTGGCACCAAAACTCCCTTACAGATCCCAATATTGACCCCACTGGCTGGCGTTCGTCAGGTGGTTGAAGTAGTACACCCTGCCTGGGGGGTTATCGATCCGTTATTGGTTATTGATTACTGATTGGTTACCAATCGGTATCAAAAAATTGGTTATTGGCAGCAAAATTCCCTTACAGGTCCCAGTATTGACCCCACTGGCTGGTGTTCGTCAGGTGTTTGAAGTAGTACACCCTGCCTGGGGGGTTATTGATCCGTTATTGGTTATTGATTACTGATTGGGTACTGATCAGTATCAAAAAATTGGTTATTGGCACCAAAACCCCCTCAAAGGCCCCAATATTGACCCCACTGGCTGGTGTTCACCAGGTGGTTGAAGTAGTACACCCTGCCTGGGGGATTATTGATCCGTTATTGGTTATTGATTACTGATTGGTTACCAATCGTTATCAAAAAATTGGTTATTGGCACCAAAACTCCCTTACAGGTCCCAATATTGACCCCACTGACTGGCGCTCACCAGGTGGTTGAAGTAGTACACCCTGCCTGGGGGGTTATTGATCAGTTATTGGTTATTGATTACTGATTGGTTACTGATCAGTATCAAAAAATTGGTTATTGGCACCAAAACTCCCTTACAGATCCCAATATTGACCCCACTGGCTGGCGTTCGTCAGGTGGTTGAAGTAGTACACCCTGCCTGGGGGGTTATTGATCCGTTATTGGTTATTGATTACTGATTGGTTACCGATCAGTATCAAAAAATTGGTTATTGGCACCAAAACTCCCTTACAGGTCCCAGTATTGACCCCACTGACTGGCGTTCACCAGATGTTTGAAGTAGTACACCCTGCCTGGGGGGTTATCGATCCATTATTGGTTATTGATTACTGATTGGTTACCAATCGCTATCAAAAAATTGGTTATTGGCACCAAAACTCCCTCACAGGCCACAATATTGACCCCACTGGCTGGCGTTCGTCAGGTGGTTGAAGTAGTACACCCTGCCTGGGGGGGTTATTGATCCGTTATTGGTTATTGATTACTGATTGGTTACCAATCGGTATAAAAAAATTGCTTATTGGCACCAAAACTCCCTCACAGGCCCCAATATTGACCCCACTCACTGGTGTTCACCAGGTGTTTGAAGTAGTACACCCTGCCTGGGGGGTTATTGATCCGTTATTGGTTATTGATTACTGATTGGTTACCAATCGGTATCAAAAAATTGGGTTTTGGCACCAAAACCCTCTCCCAGGCCCCAATATTGACCCCACTGACTGGCGTTCGTCAGGTGGTTGAAGTAGTACACCCTGCCTGGGGGGTTATTGATCCGTTATTGGTTATTGATTACTGATTGGGTACTGATCAGTATAAAAAAATTGGTTATTGGCACCAAAACTCCCTCACAGGCCCCAATATTGACCCCACTGACTGGTGTTCACCAGGTGGTTGAAGTAGTACACCCTGCCTCGGGGGTTATCGATCCACTATTGGTTATTGATTACTGATTGGTTACCAATCGGTATCAAAAAATTGCTTATTGGCACCAAAACTCCCTTACAGGTCCCAATATTGACCCCACTGGCTGGCGTTCGTCAGGTGGTTGAAGTAGCACACACATCCTGCAGGGTTATTGATGGGTTATCAATCATCATTGGCTGCTTATTGGTTATTGATTGCTGATTGGATTCTGATTTCCAGCGCAAAACCAACCTATTCATCCTATTATTATCAAGTAACAGGCCCCAATACTGACCCCACTCACTGGCGTTCACCAGGTGGTTGAAGTAGTACACCCTGCCTGGGGGGTTATTGATCCCTTATTGGTTATTGATTACTGATTGGGTACTGATCAGTATCAAAAAATTGGTTATTGGCTCCAAAACTCCCTTACAGGTCCCAATATTGACCCCACTGACTGGCCTTCACCAGGTGTTTGAAGTAGTACACCC